TTATCTACCAGAAACCCCTGGTCTAAAACCTCTGGTACCAGACAAATCTATTATAATTACACTTCTAATTTCACAGATGAGGTAGCTGAGGTCCATCTATATAACAGAAGCTTTTGATACATTTAGGAAACCAAGATGGATTTTTCACTTGCTGAAAATAATAAATCATATGTGCATGACACCTTCTGTTTAGTTTGGGTTCTCCCCAAAGCAGAGACTGAGATAAAGACTTAGATGGAATTTTATTGGGGTGACAATTCCAGGAAGCAAAATGGGGAGAAGGGAGAGTGGACAGGGAAGGAGGAAACACCAGTAGAAGAATGCTCTTTCACAATTGTGGCAGTAGGTGCCAGGGGTCTGTTTCTTCCGGGATCTCTCAGAATCGCCCATGTGAAATCGCAACACAAGGCATTTATTCATCCACTAGTTCCTGACCCCATTCATTGAGGATTGCCCCTGGAAGGTATAACTGCCCTCAAATTTCCTGGCTCTTCTCGTGTACTGGCTTGGCAGATTCTCTCAGCTTCGTAGAAAGTCCTAGAGCAGAGAACTGGAGTGATCCATGGCTTGCACCTGAGGTGGAAAAAGTCCGAGCCCACACACAACTACCTACCTACCACAGCTGTGGCTGCAATCAAGGTGGGCCAAGGGAATGTCATAAAAGTACTTGCTATAAACCACATCTTACCCTGCTCGGATCCACTTGTCTTTGTATTATGTTTACTCTGTCATTGTACCTTCAACGTGCAGGCCACAATCTCTAAAAAAGGCTCTATACAGGAGGGTTAGTGGAATAAACTATGGTCTCTGCGTGTTACAACTGGTCCTGAGTTCCAGACTCATGTATTCATCAACTCTTTGCTCCATCACCTGATCCTTGGCCAGTGTCAGCTGATCTAATCTATTTGCCTGGTGCTGGAACTAAAGAGGCTGATTCATAGGCAAACAGTAGAGATGGTGGATGAACAGCCCAGATAGAGTGGACTGGCTGAGTGAGGGAGTGGATTTAAAAAGAAGGGTAGGGGGCTGAACATTGAGTCTTAAAAGACATCTATATTTGGTTGCATGGGACTCACCCCCTTCAGTCCCTAAAACAAAACAATAAACAAAACTGGGGGAAAATAGAAGCAGAGGATGAGAACCATAAAATTGAAGTACAGAAACATCACAGATGTTACTAGAATATTTTCTATCACACGATTCTCTTGTTCAAGAAGTGAATGTATTTCCTCCCTCTTTATTGTAGAAGAACGTAAAAAAGCTTGGCCATAGAGTGGTCACTCAATAGATAACTGCTAACTGAATGAATGCAAAAATAGTAAATGTAAATTTCTCATTCAAACCTTGAAAATTCTCTATTACATGTTTTTCTATTTCTGTTTTCCATAGGCAGCTAATAAGTAGTTGAATAATTACCCTGGGAAGCAATGGAATTGTAATTGGTATTGGAGTCAGAATTTGGTTCAAATCCCAGAATGACCAGATACTAGACTGACCATGGCAGTGTCCAATAAAAGTTCTTTTCCCCTACCTGTTCCATCCCCTTTCCTTGGGCATTCAAGTATAGTGGAGAGCAAGGCTTTTCTCTATATGGTAGGTAGTTTTACCTCCCCAAACGGTCTTATTTTTAAATTACTGTGTGCAAGGTATAGGAAGTTACTAGAGACACAGGATAAATTAGAACAGATTTTACTCTACAGGAATTTTTGAGTCTGGTGGTTGAGCCAGACATAGCTATAAATGTAATATGTAAGCATTATATTGCTAGGAAATAATTATTTGTAAAGGGTGAGTGAAAATACGAAGATTTCATGAAGAAAGTGGCATTTGAATTGGGTTCTGAAAGAGCAGAATTTCGGTGAAAGGAAAGGGGATGTATGGGTTATGCTAACCTCCAAGGAAGGGTAGAGATTTTACAGAAAGTTTGGAGTCCACTGAGCAGCACAACTTCATCAGAGACACAGTAATTTAACAATTCATTGTTTTTTTCCTGCCTTAAGAAGCTTCTTTTTAGTGGAACAAGGAAATAAAACAAGTACACAAACACACACACACACACACAAAACAGTGGGTTTCATAAAAAGGAGAGATTACATGATTTTGGAGATTCTTCTGGCTACAATTGTCCTCCTGTGGAATCCCAGTTAACAAGTGTTCAGAATCACTCTTTAGAATATGATCAATAGGCGGGGGCCTACGAAGAGCAGAGGGGGAGGGGTCCAAAAAAAAAAAAAAAAAAAAGAATATGATCAATAGAGTACAGTGGTTAAGAGGGCCTGCCTGTTCCAGGTTCCATTCCAAATTAAGTAGCTTCTGTGTGCTTCAGCTAACTTTGACATAAAATGATAAGACGTACCTGAAAGAACTGTTAAGAATGACACTGGATGAAGAACGCATGGCAAGCAGAGCACCAAGTCTCTATGCCCTAAATTACATACGTATTTAATACATAAGTAGAAATGTATGAGCAGCATTAACTGTTTTCACCAGAGAGCACGCTCCTGCTGGCTGCAGACGATAGACCGCACCCTCCTAATCAGCGGCGGGGTTCCCCGGCTTTGGCAGAAAAAGCGGTTCAAAACTTCCTCCGCCTAAAGCACGTGGTCTCCGCCTCCCGCCCCGCCCCCAACAACAACAAAAAAAATGCTCTGGGACTCCAGCGCCGGCTCCTCACGTGGTGAGGGCTTGATTTTTTAAATCCATCCGAAGTGACCAATCAAAGGCGGCAGTCCGAGTGCGCGAGAGCGGATTGGCTCGCCGCTGCTTACAGCGACCAATAGGCTCGGAGGCGACTTGAGTCGAGACCGGAAGCGGGCGAATCGAAAACGGGTGGCGGCCGCGGGCAGTTTGAATTGGAATCTGGGCTCCGAGCCGCGGAGGCCGCGCTAGAACCTGCCTCTTTGAGGGGCTGTTTTCCCTTTGCGGCCGGCGAGGTGAGCGTCCTGCGTGGGTCCCGGCACCGCGGCGGGCGCGGGGGAGCCGCTGGCTTTCTGCCCGGGACTGGCGGGAGGGGGTGCCTGTGGGGTGGCGCCCCGGGCCCTGGCGGTGCAGCGGCCCGCCCCCTGCCAGGCTCGGCTGGAGAATCTGGTCCCGGTGGAGCTGGGCTCCCCTAGTGTCCCGAGACCCTGCGGGGTCATGCGCTCGCACTTTGGGGCAGTGGTTTCCAGGAGTGGAAGGTAAAAGAATGGGAGATCGGCAGGTATCTCCGACTGCAGGAACCAGTGGCTCCGACTTGATACGTGGACGTGGGTCCTTTGTTGCGCGGAGGAGATGCCAGCGTGGGTTTCGGTCTGGGTGGCGGCTGGTTGCTGTGCTGATCGTTAGCCGCGAGAGCATTTCGCTGTCCACTTGCACCTGACGTGGACGCACTTGTGCACCTGGCTCTGTGTTACGAGGACCCAGAAAATAGAGGACCCGAGTCCCATCCTGGAGCTCGGTCGGCGGTGGCAACAGTGGGCAGGAGCTCGGGTTTCTTGGTGGAAACGCGGGAAGGCTTAAAAAACGAGTCGCACGTCACCCAAGGGCTTCCTCGGGCACTTTACGGGGTTGGGTGATTCGGTCATGGAGTGTGACCTCCACGCGTCTGAGATAGAAAGAGAATTTTCTGGAAGGGACAATAGTCCTGCAAACACTCTGTACAGGAACCGTGACTTCCAGGGCTTTTCTTCCCCACGTCCCCGCCCCCCCCCCCCCAATCCTTTGCCCCTTACTTCTTGCTATTGAGGGTTACATATGTTTTGGTTCTTTTCCCCTAGTGGCTTCATACAGATTCTTGATACCTTACCCAGCCAGTCTGCTCTGATCAAAATTAGCTTCAGTCTGGTAGTTGCTCTGATCATTTTATACCGATATCTTAGATTTTGAAAAGGAAAAGCATCCAACTTGCCCATCCATCTTGCTTATTTTATAACCTGATTTTTTCTGATTTGCTCTTTTTTGTTGTTTGTTGGCTATGGCGTCTTGATGTAATGATTTCAGTGACTGGCAGAATTGCTGAGGTCAGTCATGGGGTATGCCTCTGGGACAGTACCCCCATCCCTGAATGAGCACGCTAGATTGGAATGGACAGAGCAGCCTGTCGGGCCAGTGTAATTGTCCTTTGTTGGTGAAGAGGCTTGAGACTCCATTCATGAGATTTTTGGGCAAATCGGACTGGGGTTTAAGGTGCTGTGTTCAAAGAACTGACATCTGGAAGCAAAACAAGTTCAACTGGCAGAGAAAACACAGTTTTCCAAAGCTTGAAATCTGAATTGTTTTCCCAGAAGCAAAGACTTCTCTTAATTGAAAATCTTTATCTATGATTCTTAGTATTTTCATCAACTGTTTGTTGTTCTGATTAAAAAATTTTCATTGATAAAGTGGATTGAAACAAAACACTAAAATGGTAAAAAAAAATTCTCCCCTCATTGCCAAAATAACTGCAATGAATGCTTTCCACCCCCCACTTAAGGGCTAAAGGCTAGCAAATAAAGAACAATCGCCATGCTTTTTCTCCCAGCTGATTTAAATGTCCTAAGATGTGTCTGAGGAGGAGGTAGGCCACTTCTATCTTGTTACCATAGGCTGAAATGTAGAAATGAAAAAGTGTTCTAAGGCTGTAGAAAGTTGCTACCATTATCATCCCCATTTTGCAAATGAGGAAACTAAGGCACAGAGCAGTTAAATGACACGCCCAATGTCACACATCTTGTAAGTGACTGAGCTGGTCACTGAGGCTATATACCTTTTTCCCGGTCAAGGTCTGTCTGGAGCATGACTTGACTGCATTTTTCAGTGATTCTAGTATATGATACTAGCCTTGTTCACTCATGCATTAATTCAACAAATGAGAACTACTTGGGAGGTGAGGGGGTACCTGTGTCATAAGATACTATGACCAGGAGATGTGACCAGGTTGTGGATCTCCCAGAGGAAAACGGAGAAAGAGACAGTGGGTATTGACGATGTGAAGAGGGTAAAGAAGAGCATTTACACAATAACTTGTGTGTTTTATTTGTTTATAGGACATGTGTCACCCAACACTTTATGGCAAAATACTCATATTTTGCATAATGGAAACCGAGCAGTGGAAAGCAGGTAGCCATCTAAGAGGTCAAAAAGGAGAAATGAGGAAAACAAAGCAAGGGGATGCCAAGCATATTATGTACCTCACAATCGAAGTTGTTGGTAGTCCCCTTGCAAAGGATGGGGAAGACGGATATTATGCTTGGTTATCTTTTGAAATGGGAAGTTTCCAAACCTGATCCTTAGAGGTGGTTCTGTAGACTCACTCGTCTCTGAGACTTGAAGTTTCCTTTTACTGTAGTAAACCCAACAGTCTGGTTATTCTTTTTAGTTTATTTACAGATGTGTGACTAGCAAAGAAAGGGGAGCAAAATGAGCTGGGCTTTGGAAGAATGGAAAGAAGGCCTGCCCACAAGGGCCCTTCAGAAAATTCAAGAGCTCGAAGGACAGCTGGACAAGCTGAGGAAAGAAAGGCAGCAACGGCAGTTTCAGCTGGAGAGTCTGGAGGCTGCACTGCAGAAGCAAAAGCAGAAGGTACCCCCGAAACGCTGGTGTTCCCCCTGTGCACTCACTCTTCGGGTGAGGTGTCTCGTCTCAGCCTGTTCGATTTAGAGAAAAACGATTTTGCTATCTTTAAGCGGTAACCACCCCTCTCCTCTTGAGTCGTTTTAATTTGAATTACTTCGTCTTCTCCATCCTCTGTCGTTTCTGCTTACCTGCTTACATTTGGGGGGCACAGTGTAGACTATTTTGTGGTCCAAATGGCTATCACGTTTTGACAGTGGGCTTTTCACCTTGATGTTCCCAGACCTCATCTCTCTTCAGGGCTAGTAAATGAAAATGTAAACAGTACTTCCTTCTCACCTCTTCACTAACCAACAAAGTGGTGATACAGTTACTGCTTCTAAAATGTTTTTGCTAGTGGGAAACTTTCCCACTTTGTGAAATTAACTGGCTTTAGCAGTCAAACGTGAAAGTGAATTGCTAAGGGAGACATAAGGGATTATTTTTGGTGTTTTCTTCTTTTTTTTTTTTTTTTTTAATCCTCACCTGAGGATATTTTTCCATTTTTTGTACAGACAGAGTGGGAGGGAGAGAGAGGAAGGGAGAAACATCGACGTGAAGGGACACATCGAGTGGCTGCCACCCGCACGACCAACCAGGGCCAGGGACAAACTGCAACCGAGGTACGTGCCCTTAGCGGGAACCGAACCCGGGTCTCTCAGGACCGCAGGCTGACGCTCTAACCGCTGAGCCAAACTGGCCAGGGCGGTGTTTTCTTCTTGAAAGCATGCTAAAGCCTCTCTTTCCAGGATGGACGTGTAGCCCTGACCAAAGGTAATATGAAGCATGGCTTTCTAGAACGTTTCCCTCTAGAGCAGTGGTTCTCCACCTTCCTAACGCCGCGACCGTTTAATACAGTTCCTCGTGTTGTGCTGACCCCCAACCATAAAATAATTTTCGTTGCTACTTCATAACTGTAATTTTGCTACTGTTATGTCTTAGGCGACCCCTGTGAAAGGGTCGTTTGACCCCCAAAGCGGTTGCGACCCCCAGGTTGAGAACTGCTGCTGTAGAGGCTTTAAAGGGAGGTCATTTAGCCCTGGCCGCTTTGGCTCAGTGGTTGGAGCACCGGCCTGCGGACTAATGAGTCTCGGGTTCGATCCTGATCATGAGCATGGACCTTGTTGCAGTTAGTCCCCGGCCTAGTCGGGTTCGTGCGGGAGGTGGCTAGCCGATGTGTCCCTCTCCCTCCTACTCTATCTGAAGACAAATGGAAGAGTATCCTCGGGTGAGGATAAAAAATAATAAAGGGAGGTCATTTAAATACCTTCATTCATCAAGCATTGCTATTGATTATTACTGCCCTGTCGCAGAAAATTAGTCGTCAGTGTTAAGCTCAGATTTACAAATCATACTCGTTAAGTTCACAAAGTAAGAGACCTCTTTCCTTTTGAACAATCCCCATTAGGTCGAGAATGAAAAAACAGAGGGCACAAACCTGAAAAGGGAGAATCAGAGCTTGATGGAAATATGTGAAAATCTGGAGAAGGCTAAGCAGAAGATTTCTCACGAACTTCAAGTCAAGGAGTCACAGGTGAATTTCCAAGAGGGACAACTGAGTTCAAGCAAAAAACAAATAGAAAAACTGGAACAAGAGCTTAAAAGGTAATTTTTTAAAATGGTATTTATACTGATGTCTGCATGTGTATTCATCAAATGCATTTCCCTTTTCCCTTAATGATGTAATTGTACATTGCACTATCTTTTTTCCAATGGAAAAAACAATGAGCTAAGGAAAATTGATTCTTATATATTTCAATCCTGTCACTGCATAGCTCAGTAATATATAAATTCATTAAATGGTCACTTGGTTCACTTACTCATTCAGTATATGTTTATTAAGCTTCATGTGCCAGACACTGTGTTACTGTTTGATACAATAATAAATAAAACTGTCCTGATGAGGACTGTTGGGCCCAGTTGAGGTGGATACCAGGAATTTATCGTAGGACCCATCTGTGGAGTTGCAAGATTTCCTTTTTTTTTTATTTAGCATTTGGGATGTAAATGCTGTTAAGGTGACCAGGAGGATTGATTGAGGATTGTTTTGGGCCAGGGTAATTGGATAGAAGACATGGAATGATTGAGGATGTTGGGAAGAGAGTGCTTGCAGTCCTATGCCGTGGACTCTAAGCTGGAGAGGGAGGGAGCGAGGGAAGCCAAGTCAAGAAGAGGTTCCTACTGAGATCTCCATCTAAGAGGGATCTTAATCATTATATGGTCAACTTGCCAATTTCAGTGTCACATCTGAGCAATTAGAAAAGGTGCTTATTACTACTTTTCCATTTCAAAAATCCTCTAAACAACTAGAGGCATTATCCAAATAAACTGAGTGGGACCTAAACACTGCTGGATTATGAATGGTATCTTTTGTTCTAATAGTGCAATTTTGCCAACATAATGAGGAATGATAAAAGCTAAAACCAAAAGGTACTTTAGAGGCCCTCGCTCTCCTGCCTGGTATCAGCGGTCTCATCTCTGCAGTTCCTGGGGGCTTTGGAAAAGCAATATCCCTACTGAGATCCATGGAATTAAAGACACTGGGTAGCCCTGGCCAGTTTGGCTCAGCAGTTAGAGCGTCGGCCTTCGGTCCGGAGAGACCCGGGTTCGGTTCCCGCTAAGGGCATGTACTTCGGTTGCAGTTTGTCCCCGGCCCTGGTTGGTCGTGCGGGTGGCAGCCACTTGATGTGTCCCTTTCACGTCGATGTTTCTCTCTCTCTCTTCCTCTCTCTCCCTCCCACTCTATCTGTACAAAAAATGGAAAAATGTCCTTGGGTGAGGATAAAAAAAATAAAAATTAAATTAAAATAGTCTTATTTCCTATGATGTGAATATAGATGTTTATAAAAGTTTATAAATTATATAAACTGTAGGCTATAACAACTATTAAGAGTATAGTTTTCTATAATGTAAAAATTATTAAGAGTATAAAAACTAGACTACAAAAACTACTGAATATAGGTTTTAAATTCTCACTGGTAACCTTCAAGTGCAGGGCAGGAACTTATTTTCTCCAGCAGTGGCCACTGATTACATTTCAAGAACGTCTTGAAAAAGTTAGGTTGAACCATTTGAAATGTTGATCAAAAACAGTTGAATATTGGCAGTCTTGTGTAGTTAAGCTTAGTAGAAAACAGCTTAATTTAGTGTTCTTTGGTGGTGGTGGTTTGTTTTTTCTTCCTAAGAGAAAGGAGAAACAAAGGTTTATAAAAATAATAGCAGAGTATACTTTTATTTAATATTTAAAATAAATGAGCTTTTATTTTTTAACGAAAGGCTAGGAAAACGAAGATAAGATGAATTTGAGAGGGGAAAAAAACCCCGATTTCGCAAGGTTCTTTAAAACTCATTTCTAGAATTACTAACCGTGTGACACGTTTGGTAGTCTCTAGATGGACCTCCACTGTCCAGTGTGGTAGCCACTGGCTATGTGTGGCTATTGAGCAACTTCAAATGTGGCTCGTGCAAATTGACATGTGCTCTGAGCCCTGAAGATTTAGTAAAAAAATATAAAATACCTGATTAATATTTTACTGATTACAAGGTGAAGTGACAGTATGTTGAAAACGCTGAGTTAAACATTAAGATGAAATTCACCTGTTACCCTCCATGCCAGTAGAACACTTCTGTTGGACAGGACTGTCACCGCCTGTGAGTTCGATGCGATTAGTGGATTTGCTGAGCAGTCACTGCAGCTCGTGCACCGCTGCTTCCCAGACTGAATTTGGGGCTGGGGCTGGGGCACTTCCTTCACTCTCTACTCTGAGGACTGGTCCGGGCCAAAGAGAGTGGTGCATATCATTAGCCGTTCTAATCGAGTGTTCATTATCGTTCTGAGTTAAGCTAAAATTGGAGACATTAGAGACTTGCAAGAATTGAATCCTTTTTTTTTTTAACGTAGGATGCTTGATTCTGAAAGCCGTTCAGCCCTGAAGTGGTAGGGGTATTCTGTACATACATACAGCATAGAGCTTACTCTCCCCATTTCTTTGTAACTTTTTTAGCCATATATTTACGCATTATGTTAACTTGATTTTTATACCGGTTTTAAAAATATCATAAAACATGTGATACATATATCAAGTCTATGCTTTTGTCCTGACTTGATAACATAAGTGATGCCATCCGTTTTTGTGATTTCAGCCCATGTTTGAGGGATACCAGCTTCCCCCTATATTCTGAAGTGCTGGGTTCTTCATATATATCCCTGTGTCTTTCTTTGGCTTAGAATATAAAATTTACTTGGAATATATCCCCTACCTCCCAGCTCTTCCTCGTACTATAGTGGGTATTATAGATCTTCATTGTAGTCTTTATTACATTATAACTATTGGTTTATATTTCTATTTCCCTAACTAGAGTGAGTTTATGTCTGTCACATAAGTCAGTTTTTATTAAATGTCTATTGGGTAAACGAAGTGGTAAGAATTCTTAGAGGTGGGTTTTGTTAGCTTATTACTCCCTGGGAACGTATGGTGTTAGTATTCTGTAGCTTCTGCTCTGATTTGGCATTCTCTTGGGTCCTTTTGTAACAGGTGTAAATCTGAACTTGAAAGAAGCCAACAAGCTGCACAGACTGCAGATGTCTCTCTGAATCTGTGCAGTACACCACAGAAAATTTTTCCAACTCCACTAACACCAAGTCAGTATTACAGCGGTAAGGATTTTTTCCCTTCATATAAATAGTTCTTTTTTATTTTATTTTCTTAATTTATTATTGTTAGAGATGTTTCTCCTTTTCCCCCCATTGACACCCTCCTCCCGTTCCCGCTACCCCCCCCATATAAATAGTTCTTTAATTGAGATTTCAATTCTTCTAAAGAAATGAATTAATTCAACTTTGAATTCAATTTTTAATCTGGACATGTAAGGAAATTCAACTACTTGCTATAACATATACATTTGTTTATCAGTTGAACTATAGTTAGCTATCAGGTTAATAAGTCTTTATGTTTTTTATTTAAAAAATTTTTTTTTCACTCTGCTGCTTTGGCTCAGCAGTTAGAACATCAGCCTGTAGACCAAAGAGTCTCGGGTTCGATTCTGGTCAGGAGTACGTACCTCGGTTGCAGTTCAGTCCCCGGCCCTGGTCGGGGTCGTGTAGGAGGTAACCAGTTGATGTGTCTCTCTCACATCTATGTTTCTCTCTCTCTCTCCCTCCCCCTCTTCCCTCCCCCTCCCACCCTTTCCTCCCACCCTCCCTCCCACTCTTTCTGGAGATACATGGAAAAATATCCTCAGGTGAGGATTAAAAAAAAATTTTTTTTCTCTCTCAAGGATATGCTTTTTATTGATATATATATGGTTTTTTTTGGTACGTGCCCCTAGTGGGAACCGAACCCAGGACTTTCTGGTCTGCGGGCCAACGCTCTAACTGTTGAGTCAAACTGGCCAGGGCGCTTTTTATTAATTTTAAAGAGAGGATGAAACATCAATCAGTTTGCCTCCCATAAGCCCCCAACTGGAGACCAATCCCACAACCGGGCTATGTGCCTTGACTGGGAATTGAACCTGCCACCTTTCAGTGTACAAGACAAGGCTCCAGCCAATTGAGCTACATTGGCCAGGACTTAAAACAATTTTTTTTTTTTTTTACTAACATGTAGAAATTCCACCAAGTTGTCGGCACTAATTATAGTGAAGCTTTAAAAAATTAGCTCATTCTTGTGAAGATGCATCTCATTAAGATTTCCTGTAGCCATTTTCAGGGACCTTAATGACCTCCATGTCTTCACCGTTGCCAGCTTCTTCTAAATTTCTGCAGAAACACGTTGGGGTAGGCAGGCTTATTGGCTGGCTCACCCTTTTCACTTTGTCCTCCTGTGGTGTGTTTCAAAAACAATCCAGTTTCAGAATATTCCAAACACCTGTGTTTCCATGGATTTCGATATTTGAGTAACTTGTTCGTATCTGCTGCCTTAACCAAAAAGCTCTTTCTGGTGCACTAAGATGCTCGTTTCTCAACTGTTGTGATTAATACTCATGTGTGATGAGTTCCTTCGTGAAATCAGTGATCGGAGTACAGCTGTGTCGTCTTGGCTGTGCTTAGGTTCCAAGTACGAAGATCTGAAAGAGAAATATAACAGGGAAGTGGAAGAGCGAAGAAGGTTGGAGGCGGAAGTGAAAGCTTTGCAGGCAAAGGTGCGGTAAGCAGAGGGCTCACCACAGCGCACAGCCAGGGAGGGTGGCAAAGCTGTCTACGCGGGGCTGGGCACTTCCTTACCCCGAGAGAATGAGATTCTTGGCTCCTTGGTTATGATATTTCTTAATTTAAAAATAGGTGAAGAATGAATAAAATAGAGTGGGCAATAGATTGCTTTATCCCCCAAATGTTGAATGTTCACCGAATTCCATGGAAACTGAAGCTATATATTTATTTCCCTATTAAGACCTACTGATAAGAAACGTGTGGAGAGGGTAGGACCAGAGTCATTCCTGACATTTACTGGTGTGTCACCTGGACAAAGTGGACAGTGGTGACTGCTGCCGGGGACAGGGGGTTTGGGGATCCTTATTTATGAAATGTTTATTTCAGAGGAGAATGTTTTCAGTAGTCTCCCCAGTTCTTTTAAGTATGTTGCTGACAAGGGTCTTCAACTTCATTGTGAGCATATCTGCTCACATGGTATTATTTGCTTAAAAAAGCCCATTTTGGCACTTAATGGCGTATTTCCGCTAAACATAAGAACTTGATAAGATGGCACAATTTTGCAAACAATTGAAGGCCAAATTTATGCGTAGCTACCTGAAATATTGAGGATCAAAAGTACGTATTAGAGAGTTAACAGTTTTAATTCTTTTTGTGCCTTTAACCCCTGTTTTGGAGCGGCCAGGATTTTCGTAAGTGACAACAGCGTTGTTTATCAAGATGAATAGAAAGTAAACAGTGATTCTCTGGTTTGTCCTAGAAATACTATGTGCTTTGTTATCCAGCTCAGTCATTCGTACCAGTTCTGCCCCAGCCTCGATTCCCAGAGTCATTTGTGGAGGCGTGGGGGTCTCCATGAACGTGGGCCCTCCCTCGTGGCAAGAGAGCCGGGCTGTGAAAACCAAGTGTCGCATCACCAGCCGCCTCTCTGTTTGTCAGCATGGAGGTGGAAAGAATACAGAGCATTAGAAAAGCCATACGCATAGATTATAGCACATAAAATACCTCGTAGGACCTTTTGGGGGGAGTGTTATGATGGAAAGAGAGATTCTTGAAAGAGTTCTTTAACGTAATATTGAATTTTGATTCTCTTCGTGCAGAGCTACTGGGGGTGGGGGTGTGACCAAGGACAGCCCCTCACCTCCAATCAAATTTCAGAATTCAAAATTGTAGGGAATATACTCATGTGTTTGAGAGATGTAAAGTAAATACAAAAACAGCCGGTGTGAAATGTATTGGGCCTCAGGGGTACTGGCTTGACCCTTCCATGGTGAAGTCTGAGCAATAAAAAATCTCACTTGGGTGTTGGGACCGACTAGTTCCCTTGACTTGATGAATGTTCTTTCTTGGTACCCAGTGGAAATGCTATCCTCCTGAAACGGCTTTATGTTCTATTTGAAAATAAAGTAGTCCTGAATATTCTGCTTTCTAAAGGGCTCTAAAGAGCTTCTGTCTTAACAGAAAGTGAGCCAGGCTGTTCCACAAAACACCATGAATCACCGGGACATCGCCCGGCACCAGGCCTCGTCATCTGTCTTCTCATGGCAGCAAGAAAAGACCCCAAGTCGCCTTTCTTCCAACGCTCTGCAAACTCCGATGAGGAGAGACTTCTCTGCATCTCACTTTTCCGGGGAACAGGACGTGACGCCGAGTGGATCGACTCTGCAAGTAGGGAAGAGAGATGCCAATGGCAGCTTCTGTGATCCCTCTAGCAACCCTCATCTTTTGGATCAATTAAAAGCCCAGAATCAAGGTAATGGCTTTGAGCTCAATCGAGTTTCAATTTTCCTGAGATAATTTCGGAGGTGATTCCAGACATTTTTAGCCCTAGAAAGTGCTTCTGTGTTTTGTTAGACACATCAGTGGCCAGCATCCCAGTCTGGTGATGTTAAAATACTGCCTTTTCAATAATGAGAAAAGATACCACAATTTTGGAGCGTTCCTTTATTTGTACAAAAAAGCTGGGACCCTGAAGCCTTCAGAAGGAGGATGAATGGCTTGGACTTGTCTTTCCAGAAGCAGGGCGAGTAGGCCGGTTCCAGGCGACACCCCCCACGCTTCTCATCTGGCTCCTTCTGTCCCCATGAAACAAGCCTGTGTCCTGGCCAGTGTGGGCCAGAGGTGTGGCATGTGTCCGCAGAACAGCCTTGCTCTGTGCTGCCAGCTTGTCCATATGGGAGCAAACCTGTAACCTTGGCTGCCGTACCGCACTGCCGCTGACAGCCAACGGTACCAGGTGGTGTTTTGGAATCGGCTTTGCAGACTATGATAACTTCCAGTGCTCTGATATATGGAAAAGCACTGTCAGTGTTCACTGGTGAGAGCTGTCACGCTGCCAGTGCCATTGGAACCGGCACTGTGTGTGTGTGGGGACAAAATTATTGTTAATGTTGGCACACTAGGAAGTTCACACTGTCTTGATCTTTGCTGGAGGTAAAGCTCCCCTAGAAGAGGGGAGGATGACTTTTCCCCTGCTCATCGCTTACTTGCATTGATGTGGGCACACAACAAATATTAGTCTGCCCGTAGGTCAAAACGAGTGGTAATTTATACAAGGGTGTTACATGTGATGCACTTTTTGCAGCCTTGATCAGATAATGTTCAGGATTTTAGAAAAGCATTTTCTTCCCTGTGATGAGAAAATTTGTTTCTCCTGCTTTCGATAGGATATTTGAATATAAATAACAGTAGAGACTAAACATTGAAATGGAATCCAATTGGGGTAGCTTCTGTGTTAAGCAAATGTGAATTGACTTATCTTTGTCTCACCAAAGAATTCAGAGCAGAGTGACATAAATGATATATTCTGAATCGAGTTGTAAAAATTTTCGTGAAAAGTACATGGTAACTGAAGCATGGGTTTTGTTTGTGATTTAAGAGCTAAGGAGCAAGATCGGTGAGTTGGAACTACGCCTGCAAGGACAAGAAAAAGAAATGAAAAGCCAAGTGAATAAATGGCAAGAGCTGCAGCTCCAACTGGAGAAAGCGAAAGTGGAATTGAATGAGAAAGAAAAACTTTTGAATAAAAGTAGGGATGAACTAGTGAGAACCACAGCGCAGTGTGACCAGGCGGCAACCAAGGTACTTTCATGAGTTACTGAAAAATCTCCACTGTTTATGCAAAGCCTACGTGATACTTAAATTTATGAAATAAATGATGTAAGGAACCTTATTAACATATTCTAGGCAGTATTGATGCCATTGAACTAGTAAGTTCTTTTAGGGTTGGGTAGATCAGGGGTCAATTTTGGACAGCCTGTTTTCCCAGCCGAGGGGCTGGAGCAGGTCACTTATCGCTTACATCTCAGAGGATGAAGAATAAAGATTATGTATACACGACCCCTGCCACAGTTTTTGGCCCATAGAAGAGACTTAGAGCAATGGAGCTTTAAAAGACGTTTAGGAATTATGATCAAATTGATCTACTCTTGGGATCTAGTATCCATTTAATCCTAAAGCTTGTTATTTGAGCGTTTTTTGGAGGTAGAGTTGTTGCCTTGACCCCAACCTATCTCTCTAGTCTTCTCCTTTTTCTGTTATTCATTCACTGGCTCATCTAACAAATACTTATAGGCTGCCTACTATGTCAGGCACTGTTCTAGGCTTGGGGATGGATCAGGAGGAATTAGACAAAAAGTATTGCCCCGTGGAGCTTCATCTTAATAGGGGACGTAACAATGATGTAGGCGTCACAGATAGTATGGGGACGAGTGTAGAGAAAAATGAGTTATTTTCGAGGACCACCTGTACTTATTTGATGTCTCCTGGGCCTAATCTATTTCTGGGCCCAGTGCCTTGCTGCTTGGCCTACTCTCTACTTGGACTACTGCTGACATGCTCCTCATCCTGCGAGCTCCTTCCTCATCTCTCCACACGGTGAGGCCTTTTCTCCCAGCACCCCCTTGTTTGTGTTCTAGCCCTGGGGTTCCCACACTGGCTCATTGTCAGAATCACAGAGAACCTTGTAAACTTAATACTGTTAGACCTAAGGGATTTTCTTTTTTCAATTTTTACTTGAGGAAACGTTTATTGAGTTCAGAGAGAGAGAGAGAGAGAGAGAGAGAGAGAGAGAGAAACGTCAATTGGTTGCTCGTACACCCCCGATGGGATCAAACCCACAACCTAGGTATGTATCCTGACTGGGAATCCAACCCAAAACTTTTTGGTGTATGGAAAGGCACTCCAACCAACTGAGCCAGCCAGCCTGGGTCTAAGGAATTTAATTTACTTTTTTATTTTTTTCAATTTTTATTAATTTATTTTTGTTACAGATGTTTCTCCTGTTTCCTCCTAGACACCCTCCTCCCCATTCTGCAGGAATTTAATTTTAATAAACCAGAAATTTCTTTTTTTTTTTTAAAGGTGCAGTTTTACATTTGTGGTTTTTGTTTGTTTGTTTGTTTTTGTGGTACGTGCCTCTGGCAGGAACCAAACCCAGGACTCTCTGGTCTGCAGGCCAACGCTTAACCTTTGAGCCAAACTGGCCAGGGCAACCCAGAAATTTCTAAGGCAGTAGGTAGAAATCACTGTAGCATATATCTCCAATTTGCTACCTGGGGCAGGTTCTTTCCATCTATCTTTTAAAAAAATTAATCTTACCTGGCTGGTGTGGCTCAGTGGACTTAGCATCATCTCATGGAGGAGGTCCTGGTTCTATTCCTGGTCAGGGCACATGCCTGGGTTGTGGGCTCAATCACCAGTAAGGGGCGTGCAGGAGGCAGCTGATCAGTGTTTTTCTCTCACATCACTGTTTCTCCTCTCCTAAAAAAATTAATCTTCTTAAATTTTAAGATAACTATAGATTCATACATAGTTCTATGAAATAGTATAGTGCCTTGTTAATTTGGTTGATTACACTGATTGCTTTTTAATTATTTGGATGAACTTTGTTTTTTTTAAATCTTTACCCGAGCATATTTTTCCATTGACTTTCAGATAGAGTGGAAGTGAGGGAAGGAGGAAGAGAGAGGAAGAGAGAGAGAGAGAGAGAGAGATGTGAGAGAGACACATCAATTGGTCACCTCCTGCATGACCCCAACCAGGCCTGGGGATCAAACCACAACTGAGGTATGCGCCCTTTACTGGAATCGAACCCACAGCTCTTTGGACCGCAGGACAACACTCTAACTGCTGAGCCAAAGCAGCCAGGGCTTAGATGAACTTTGTATCTTTGGAATAAACACTACTTGGCATCCTGTATAATTCTTTTTATGTATTTATGAATTTTATTTGCTAATAATTAGTTAAGGATTTTTGTGTCTACATTCATGAGGGAAACTGGTCAGATTTTTTTTGTGTGTTGTCTTTGATATTTGTATCAGAGGTAATAGTAGCTTCATAAAATGAACTGAGAAGCATTTCCTCCTCTTCTGTCTTTTGAGGAGATTGTGTAGAACTTGTGTTATTTCTTTTTACATTTGGTAGAATTCTCCATGAAACCATCTAGGCCTGGAGATTCCTTTTTTGAGAGTTTTAAAATTATGAATTAAAAAAATAGTTATATGCCTGTTAAAATTATTTCATGTTGGATGAGTTGGGATAGTTTGTGTTTTTAGAGGAAATAGCCCATTTCATTTAAATTGTCAAATTTATCTGTGTAGAATTGTTCGTAGTATTTCATTATTCTTTGAAGTCTGTATGTCAGGTGATATTCCCTGTTTCTGAAATTTGTATCTTGTCTTTTTATTGTCAGTCTTGCTAGAGATTTGTTACTTTTGTTGCTCTTTTATTGATATTTCCAATATATCAGCTCTTTGGTTCATTGATTTTATTATATTTCTGGTTTCAATTTCATTGATTTTTGCTCTGTTACTGCTTGCTTTGGGTTTATTTTGCTCTTTTTCTAGGTTGTTGAGGTGGGGAGCTTAGATTATTGATTTGAGACTTTTTTCCTTTTCTAATGTAGACATTTTAATGCTATAAATTTCCCTCTCGGTACTGCTTTAACTATGTTCTACAAATTTGTATATATTGTATTTTAATTTTTATTCAGTTCAGTGTATTTAAAGAAATTGTTTTCCTTTGACCCGTAGATTGTTTAGAAATATTTTGTTTAGTTTACAAGTGTTTGGAGACTTTTCTTTTTCTGTTACTGATTTTTAGTTTGACTCCATTATGTTTAGAGAACGTACTCTGTAATCTCAATTCTTTTAAATTTGTTGAGGTTTGTTGTATGGCCTAGGATGTGGTCTATCTTGCTATATGTCTCATGGGCACTTGGGGAAAAAATGTATATTGTGTTATTGGGTAGTGTTCTAAAACTGTCATTATCTCCTGTTGTTTGTTGGTGGTGTTGAATTATTCTATATTCTGGCTGACTTTCTGTCTAGTATCAGTTGTTGAGACAGGGATGTTGAAAGTACCCCGTAATTGTTGATTTGTTTATTTCTCCTTTCAGTTTTATCAGTATTTCCTTCACATGTTTTGTAGCACTGTGGTTTGGTTCATATACATTTAGGATTACTGTGTCCTCTTGGTGGATTGATCCTTATTATGTAATATCCCTCGGTAACTCTGGTAATTTTCTGTATTCTGAATTCTACTCTACAGTAATAGAGTATATTACTCTATATTACTGACAGTAATATAGCCACTTCACCTTTCCATTGATTAATGTTGGTATGATATATTTTTTTCAATCTTTTTACTATCAACCTATCTATATTATTATACCTAAAATGAGTTTTGTGTAGACAGCATACAGTTGAGTGTTATTTTTAAATCTACTCTTTTACTATCTTTTAATTAGTATATTTAGACTATTTACATTTAATGTAATCATCGATAGGCCATGGCTTAAGTTTGCCATTTTATTTTTCTTGTTTCTTTTAAATTTTCATTTGTTTTCTTTTTTTCTGATTTCCTGTGGGTTAAACATGAAAAAAAAACTCCATTATTATTTATCTATAGTGTTTTTGAATGTTTTTTTTTTTTTTGTCGAGCCCTTACAGTGATTTTCTAGATATTACATTATATATACACACAATTTATCACAGTCTATTGGTGTCATTTTGCTAGCTCTAATAAGTGTTTAGATATTCTGGGGCAGTGCTTTGCACAGAGAAAAAAATTTTTTTAAAAAATATGTTTTTATTGATGTTTTTTATTTTTATTTTTTAGAGAGAAAGGAAGGGAGGGAGAGAGAGAGCTAGTAACATCAATGTGAGATACAGTGATCATGCCTCCCAGTCCATGGGATGATGCTCGGTCCACTGAGCCACACCTGCCTGGCTGTGCACAGAGAAATTCTTGATAAATGATGATTAAATGTGTGAGGGTACAGTGGAGGGTCAGTGGAACCATGGCCTGCCTTGATCAACTTGTGCAGTCTGAGTTGTTTTATTGAGAAAGACCTGGATTTGTGTTCTGGCTCTGCCACATCCCAGTTGTATTTTTTTGGAGCTATTTAATTAACGTATAAGCTTCAGTTGCCTAATCAATAAAATGGTGTTAATAATGCCTGTGTCATAGGGTTGCTGTAATTACTGAAGTAATTTTCATAAAAGCTTTAGCATAGTGCTTGCCACATGTGAACTTATATTAATATTCGTAGTTTTTGTTACATTGAGTTCTTTGTCAATTAAACTCATTTTCAGTTGCATTTCTGCCAGCTCAGGCCTTCCTATATATAAGAATTATACTTATCATTTCATGTTTTGTGTTGTTGGTTTTGGTGTGACAAGATCACTGAATCCTTATTCCATCTGACGTATCTGTCAGATCATGAATTAAAATATTTGACTAGGGCTGTGCTGTGTGCTGAGAACATAACTCTGGCTTTCTTTCTGTTAGTCATCCCTCCAGATTCTTTTTTTTTTTATCCTCCCCCGAGGATATTTTTCCATTTTTTGTACAGATAGAGTGGGAGGGAGAGAGAGGAAGGGAGAGAGAGAGAGAAACATCGACGTGAAGGGACACATCGAGTGGCTGCCACCTGCACGACCAACCAGGGCCGGGGACAAACTGCAACCGAGGTACGTGCCCTTAGCGGGAACCGAACCCGGGTCTCTCCGGACCGCAGGCCGACGCTTTAACTGCTGAGCCAAACTGGCCAGGGCTCCCTCCAGATTCTTAAGCCTTGTTTGTTCAGTGCTTTCTGAATTCCATTTTTTCATGAGCTGTGATCCACCTACCTGAAAATTCAGTCTACCTTTCTCTGTCTTGCCTCTTAAGGACAATATGACCATATCAAATATGTTGCTGAAACCAAATTATGCATTGTTGATGCTCTTCCCTGATCTACCATTAGAATTACCTATTAAATAAAATGGAACTAATTTAACCAAAATCAATACCATGTTCTTTAGTGAACATAAGCTATTTTTAGTGTGCTTCTTTTCCAAGTATTTATGAACCTTGTGGGATACAAAGCTGTTGAACTCATGTAGAAACAAAGGGTTGGGGCTTGCCGCAAAACTGGAGATTAGTACCCACATTTTACAGATGGAAAAAACAGGCCCAGAGTGCCGCATATTTTCAAGGACTTGAGCTCTGGACACTGTTTTAGAACATTATGGAACATTCATGACACCTAGTGGTCAGCTACTCTTACATGGATTGTGCATCATCAATATCAGAATCTCACTGAAAGTTTTTAAAATAAAATATAAATACCTCCTGAAAGCTCTTCTTTAACCTACTGTTTCTAGTAAGAAAAAATTGATCCTGAGATCCTTGAATGGAATGAGTTGCAGTTTGAAGGAGGGCCAGCAGAGGGCGCCAAGGGTTCATTCATCCACAATGCCTGCCAAGCATGGGTGGTTTTTGTAGGTATTTTTTTTTTAAGATTTTTAAAAATTGATTTTTAGAGAGAGGGGAAGGGAGAGGGAGAGAGAGAGAAACATTGATGTGACAGCAGAACATCAATCGGCTGCTTCCTGCATGCCCCTCACCCGGGATGGAACTTGCAACCCTGGCATGTACCATGACCGGGTATCGAACCAGTAACCTTTCAGTGCATGGGGTGATGCTCAACCAACTGAGCCACACCTGCCAGGGCAAGTGTCAGGTATTTTCCCTGAGATTGTCAACCATCAAAATGTTGGACCGCGTGGGCAATGAGTTTTATCTGACTTGTTTTCACAGTGCTTGACATATAGGAGGCTTGCAATAAATATTTATTGATTTCATACTTATTGTAAATCATTTTCGTAACACTTTTCCTTGGGAATTTAAAAATTCAGGAAGCTTAAGGATAATGACAGTGGATTAATTTGAACCACTGGCTCAATATTTTTCTGAGTTTGATATTTTTAGACTCCTGATATTTGTAAAATCATTCAGTCATTAATGACCAGCATTGCTCTTTTCATGTTTGCTTAGTTAATAATTGGTGTTTGGTCTTCTGGGAAAGTTTCATATAGTGTTTTCTTTTCCTCTGAATTCTCTGTTAAGTTTCTAATATTTTAAATAGTTCTAAATTAGACTATCATGAGTCTCAGGAAAATACATTAGTAGAGAGATTTGCCCAATTGGGGCACATTTCTCTTTGGACCAAGGCGTTCTCTCTGACCCAAATGACGTATTCTCTTTCTTCCCTGGCTATTCAGAGTTGTTTGTGGGGGCAGGTGGGAGATGTGACCACCACAGGGGAGAGAGAGGAATGGGTTTCAGTGCTCAGAGTTCAGACCATTTTGTTCCCATTTAATTTTAGAAGAGCATCTTAAATGTTGATGTAGCCCATGTTTAAAAAAACATTATAAGGAAAATTGGCTATGAAAAAGGCAGAAGTAGTTTCTTTGCTCATGGCAGCTTGTTTACAAACATTCGGGTGCTCTGAACCCCCTGACACTCACAGTGGCACTGTGAGAGCTCTGTGGACAGACGCATTTCGGCGTTGACCGGCTCCCACAGTCTGTTAGGCTCGAACCTCGACCCTGTGAGGGTAATGGGGCTGCTGGGTAGTTCACAGCCTCTACAGTGCACAGGTCCACCTCACCGCATTTTAACCTCAGATCCATGCAGCGAGATGCTAGATGGGTATTTATTCAGACTCGCCAATTTCTTTTTTCACAGCACAAATTATGAAGTAGTAAAAGGTCTAAGGCTTCCCATCCTTGCTGCTGTTTCCCCAGCATAAATGTTATGTGTCCCCAAATAATTATAGTGGTTTTGGTATATGGCGAATAGTTTTAAATCCAACGTTTTGTGAAATAAAAATGTCAAAACGCAATGATGCACTTGAACCAGAACTCAGGGCTCAGTTTTCTAAAGTTCAAAATATCACTTCTTTCCTTACCTCATTTTGTTTTGTGTTGTGCATTTTAATTTGTCGCTAGTGTACTGCACTGGAGCAGAAGCTGAAAAAACTGACCGAAGATCTGAGCTGTCAGAGACAAAATGCAGAGAGTGCCAGATGCTCTCTGGAACAGAAACTCAAGGAAAAGGAGAAGGAGTCTCAAGAGGTACAGTGAACAGGCCCCGAGGAGCTCGTTGGGGGGTCAGTTTCCCGGGGAGAAGATCACTTCTGATCGTGTGGGTTGTTCTGGGGAAATGCTACCAGAGGAAAAGGTCACTGTGTTTTCCTTCATACTTTCCCCTCTTTCCGTGGTTGATCAGAGAAGGAATCCAGGAGACAGAATGTTCTTTTTTACCCATGTCTTCTGATTTGTTTGAGATTTCTATCCCGAGGAGGAAAAGGTCGTATTTCTTCTTTCCAACACTCTCCGCTGTGAAGGAAACTGTTGCATTCTCGGGCTGTTTGGAAGCCTGTGGGTTGGCGCGGGTTAGAACCTAGCGGGCGCAGTGGGGAAAGGCGCTGGCGGACAAGGGGCTGAGGGTGCCCTTCGGTGAGTGCAGCTAGCTGCCCGGGGAGGGGAGCTCACCCAGACGTGTGCTGCACGGTTTGGGGGTCGGAGGCTCCCAGTAAGACTGACCACAAACCGGAGCTCGTCTTGGTCAGACCCAGCCTCATACATTCGCTACACTGTGTATCCCTCCGCTGTCTGTCTCCCCAGAACTACTTGTAAACAACGGAGGAGATGCAGAGAGCTACCCAGAGGAAATAACCCCGCCTCCTGGGGGAATTATAACCAACTGTGCATTTAATTTTTTTTTTTATCCTCACCCGAGGACATTTTTTTTTTTTTTTTCTATTTTTTGTTGAGGTAGAGTCGGAGGGGGAGAGAGGAACAGAGAGAGAGAGAAACATCGACGTGAAGGGACACATCGAGTGGCTGCCACCCGCACGACTGACCAGAGCCGGGGACAAACTGCAACCGAGGTATATGCCCTTAGCGGGAACCGAACCCGGGTCTCCCTGGACCGCAGGCCGACGCTCTAACCGCCGAGCCAAACTGGCCAGGGCCCAACTGTGCATTTAAAAAAAGAAAGAAAAAAATATGTACACACACACACTGTAATCCTCACCTGAGGATATTTTTTCCATTTATTTTAGAGAGGAAGGAGGGGGAGAGAGGGACACATTCATGTGAAAGAGAGACATCAATTGGTTGCCTCCCGCAGGTGCCTTGACCTGGGCATCAAACCTGCAACACTTCTGTGCACAGGCGGGTACTCTAACCACTTAGCTACACTGGTGAGAGCTAAATATATATTTCTTAATTTTTAAAAAAATTTCAGTTGACATTAGTTTCAGGTGTACAACATAGTGCTGAGACATTTGTAGAACTTACGGAGTGAACCCCCAATAACACAAGTGTTTAAATATGATAGCTCTTATTTCTTGAACAAATAAGACACCAGGCACTTTGCTAGTTCCTGGGTGTAAGGGGCGACTGTGACCTTGGGTTTTATAGTCTAGAACAGTGGTTTTCAACCAGGGGTGATTGTTTTTTTCCGCCTCTCAGGGGCTATTTAGCAATATCGGGGGGCATTTTTTGTCACAACTGAGGTAGGGGAGCGGGGGCTACTGGCATTTCCTGGCTAGGGGCCAAGGCTGCTGGGAAACATCCTACAATGGACAGTCTCTTAGATAAAGCATTGTCCCCAGCCCAAAATACGGGTAGTGCCAAAGCTGGCAATCCCTGGTGCAGCAGGAGGGTGGTAGGGAGGAAAAATAAACCCCAAAACAAGCACCAAAAACACAAGCACACATACATATCTTAAAAAAAAAAAAAGCGACTGGGAATGTTGCTCTGGTATCCTTATGTGCTTATCCAAGTTTACTGGTGACGTATACTTTGTATCATTCTCAGTTGTAAGTGGTGTATGGTATCTGAAATTTTAAACCCCATTTTATGAGTGGATTCGACTTCTCAGCTGAATTGTGATGGTTGCAGCTCTTTTTTGCCCCTGAACACGTCAAAACAGATGATTGGTTTAAGAGGGGGAAGAGGCGGAAACAGGCTGGCTCCTCCCCTGGCCCTCGGAGACCCGGAGTGGATGACTGGGACCGGTGCTCAGCTCCCTGTCCATCCTGAAGGGGATGGCTGCTCGGCTCCCTCATCGCATGTCCTGTGGGATGTCTGTCGCCCTGGAATCCGCCTGGGAACCCTCGGCAGCGCGACGGTGTGCCCTTTGCCTTTCAGGAGCTGTGCCGTCAGCAGCGCTCCTTCCAGACTCTGGACCAGGAGTGCACTCAGATGCGAGCCAGGCTCACGCAGGAGCTGCAGCAGGCCAAGAACGCGCGCAACCTGCTGCAGGCCGAGCTGGACAAGGTAGGCGCCGCCGCACCTCCTTGCGCCTGCTGTTTCTGTACCACGGCTGGGATGCTTGGAAGGAGAAGTGTGCTATCCTCACGGTCCTCTCCTCAAACGGGAGAGCAGACCGGACCTGTGTGGGTCTGGTTCTCAATTAGAGAAGAGGATAGTGAGTGAGGTTCTCAGATCTGAAAGTGTGGAGGTCTGATACTCTGGTTCTTGGTCATGTCACTGGGTGGGAGCTGTACCCCAGCATTTATGCCCTCAAATAATCAAAGCACTGAAACTGATAATCAGTTTGCTTAACACTCACTTCAAAAGTGCTGTCGTCCAGTTTTAGGTCTTCATGTTGCATCTGTGTGGTGATGGCTCCCATTTGTATCTCTAGCCCGATCTGTTCTGCACCTGAGACTTGCGGGTGTACTGGCGTTTCCACTCGCATTTCTAGCAGGCGTCGCACACTGAACGTGTTAATGATGGGACTCCAGCTGCTTTTTCAAACTTGCTCCCCCTTTTGTCTTTCTCATCCCAGTAAATATTAGTTCTGGTCTTCAGGTTGCTGAGCCCTAAAGCTCCCCGTCATCTTCAACTCTTTCTTTCCTTTCACACCTCAAAGTTATCCACCGAAAACTGCGGACTCTGCCTTTATTTACGTGCATTTGTATGTATTTGTGTATATGTGTGTGCGTCATACAGCGAGTACATTTAAACTTTTTTTATGTTCAAACGTAAAATCTGTATAGAATGAATGTTTATCGATAAGTTATTATCAGGCATGCTGGCTTATAACCATTATCCGTGTCGGGATGGAGTTGTCAGCCCCCCCAGAAACCCTGCGTGTGCTCCTTAGCTCCCTGCTAAGGGCAAGCGCGACTATGTCGGTCTGTGTTCTGTTGAATGTGACTGCGTCCACCATGTCCAGTGCTGTGTCGGTCTCAGACCTCATCACCTCCCTCCTGGTTACTGTCCGAGCCCCCTGTCTTCCTGCCCCTCACCTCTCCCTCAGTCCGTTTACCGCCAGCGGCCAGGGGACTCAGAGCTCGCAGTCACCCCGTCCCTCTCCGTAAGAGATGCAGCCAGCACGGGTGGCATCAGTTCTTGTATTTGTGACTTTCTTATTGAAGAAGAAAGGGTTACAAGAGTAAAGGAAAGGACAGAAAATGGAACCTTGGCCTTATTTTCTCTTTGGAGGTCACATCAGGAAAGAACCAGCTAGAAGAAAAACTGGAAGAGTTGAAGCAAAATTCCCGCCGAACGGAACAGGCTTTGCAGGCGAGTCAGACGAAGGAGGAGCAGCTGCGGAGGAGCAGCGAGGTGAGCGCAGCCCGAGTGCGCAGCCCGACCTGGTCAGCGTGTTGGGGGGCGGGTGTTGGGAGGTGCTGCGCCACCTTTCTGTAGCTTATCCCGGCCGCATCATTTCTGTTTTATTTGCTAAAGGTATGACAAAGTATTTTGTATATAAGCTTTGCCAGAGAACATAGTGCTTTGTTTTTCCCTTTCTCTTCCTATAATTGCATCTAGCAGTTATACTCATAATACTCATCATTAACATATAATACTTTTTATTAAGAAATAGATTGTTTTAGACCATCAGGGAGGTGGGAGAATGGAAGAAAACGAGGGATTTTTCTAAATGGACAGTAACAAAATTGGTGGGGTGGGGGCATAATTTAAGTCCCTTTTCCAAGTGTTGGCTTTTGAGTCATCAGATATTAAAAGCCTGGTGGAAAGTCAGTGATTTAAATGAGCAAAGAAAGTAGTGACAGATGAAGAGTTTCTAGATCTCAGCTTGTTATGAAAACATCAGGTAATTGTAAATTGTGTTTCTCTGGCTTCCGAAGTCACCGTCAGCCTCAGTGTTGAGCATGGTTGCCGGTGTGTGTAGATTCATGTTTTTACTGCACGATGCTGGATGACACCCTGGTGATGTGGGCACAGGACTACCCTGATGTTGCTTGTACTGATCAGATTTCACCCATACTTTAATTTGGCTTCTCTCTGAATTTATAAGTGGCCTGGAGTTTATTTTAAAGGGCTTAATTAAGAACCATTTAGGGACGCCTAATAGACTGAGACCATTTGAATAGCGCCATAAATCAGCGCTGCAATAATACAGAGAAGCACAGCAGGACAGAGGTCTCTTCCCTGGCAAGTGTCACAGGAAAGAAAACTTTCCACTTATTCTTTTAAATACTTTGCAGTCACTTTCTAGACTGTAAAGATTCTTTTATGAAAATTCTCTATGAAGAACATTTATTTATTTATTTATTTATTTATTTATTTACTTGTTATCCTCACCCGAGGACATTTTCTCATTTTTTTGTTCAGGTAGAGTGGGAGGGAGAGAGAAGAACAGAGAGAGAGAGAGAGACATCAATGTGAAAGGAACACATCAAGTGGCTGCCACCGCACGACCGACCAGGGCCGGGGACAAACTGCAACCGAGGCACGCGCCCTTAGCGGGAACCGAACCCGGGTCTCTCAGGACCGCAGGTCGACGCTCTAACCGCTGAGCCAAACCGGCCAGGGCAGAAGAACATTTATTTTGCCCGGCCAGTTTGGTTCAGCGGTTAGAGCGTCGGCCCGCAGACCAAAGAGTCGTGGGTTCAATCCCGATCAAGGGCACGTACTTCAGTTGCGGTTTGATCCCCGGCCCTGGTTGGGGTCATGCAGGAGGCAACCAGTTGTTGAGTCTCTCTCACATCGATGTTTCTCTTTCTCTGTCTCCCTCCCTTCTCACTCTATCTGAAAATAAATAGAAAAATATCCTCGGGTGAGGATTAAAGAAAAAATAGAATTATTAATGCAGGTGAAGAGAGTCGAAATGGATGTACCGCCCAGCTTTGAGGAGTAATACGAGTGTAAAATCAGAACATCTGTTCGTAACTCAGCCAGCCAGTCTCAGAGGGGTCGTACGCGGGAGACAGGCGGCCCCTGTCCCAGCCACCCGAGTGGCAGAAAACTTCGCATCAGATGATGGTTTCATCAGTGAACGCTTTCAAATGGAAGTGTTTTGTTTCAGCAAAACAAATGTTTGCCTTTTGGCCAGTGGGGACCAACCAACAGATGCTTCTGCGAACATTCCCACAGGCAGACTGGCACCGAGCTCTTCCCTCTGCGCTTCCCCTTCCGCCAGCAGCTCGCCCGTGATGCCGCTGGCTGCCTGCTGGGAGCGTCTTGTACAAGCAGTCGTCTGGTTAAGAGGGTTCACACACTTCTAAAACGGGCTCCTTGGTCAGGTGTTTCTGAAGACTTGTGCCGACCCCACAGGGTCTGGGTGTCAGCTGTGGAGCTGTCCGTGGTGACTACCTGTCCTGAGTTAGATGCCCGCTGTGTCGTGCTTATGGTTCATCAAAATCTGTGTCGATGGAGGGCAGTCGTGTGCAGGGGCCTAGCACAGGGCCGGGGAGTTCATTTAGTACCTGTCTTCCTGTGTGTGTGTGTGTGTGTGTGTGTGTGTGTGTGTGTTTGTCTTCTTTTGAAGATGATATTAAGAACTCAAAGGGTTTATCTGGCTCTTGCCTTTTAACTTGGAATTGGGATCAGAATTGCTTTCCTGCCACCTACCTGCTGGGTGACCTTGGGACAATAACTTTTGCTTTCTGAGTCTCTTTCCTCGTCTGTATATAGGGACGTGTCATCCCCTCTGCCCCCTTTTCAAAGCTGTATGTGTGCTCAGATTAAACACTGCCCAGCATATGAGTGCTCAGTAGATGACTGCAGTCCACCTGCTCATTGCTATGTTCTTCACAACTGTGATGACCTGTTTGCTGCCACCCACGGGCACATAGTGCTGAGCCAGGGGACTGTGCATCTGAGAGTGTACACATTTAAAATTTTGCCTGTTCTGTGGCTCTGGGTCACTTTCTGTATCTAATTATAAGTAAGTGCAAACAAGTTTAGTGGCACGCTGATAGGTTTTGGATGCCGAAATAGTGTGACAGTTGTACTGAAATTTTCCTTGTTCGTGTTTAGCAAACTAATATGCCACTCACAGTGAGGCATTATCGGTAGTGGAGACGTGATTTAATGGCCCAATCAAGGGTAAAGTTAACATTTAGCATCCAAGTGAATGGAGGGTTTAGATAAACTGCTCATCCAGAGACGGCTGCCAGCCCTGCGGCGTTGGGGTTAGGCCATCATGTCCCATCATTCGACAGCCAAGACGGGGGAACACTTGCCTGGGGACCTTCCTGAGCTCAGGGAGCTGTATTATACCAGGTCCTCTAAGGGGCTTGGTCTGGCAGGCAGGGATGATGAGGTGGAAGGGAAAAACACATCCTCTGCATCCATCGCTTGTTATGATAGAGACTTTGCCCCGGCAGGGGACGGATTAAGCTTCATTCATGGATGGGATCATGAAGTAGCACACAGTAGCTGAAATTTGTTGTGTCTGGCCCTAGGAAAGGATGCCTCCCTTGTTGCTCTTAAACCGAAGTTGATCTGGGTGGAATAGCTTGCTGAGCTCAGATCCCGGCTTGTAGTTATAGGGATTTTTGTTGGTTTTTCCAGACTTGTGCCCAATTTTGCACATCATGTTAGGATGCAAGAGCTGCCTAGGAGAACGTATCCTTGTATGCTTAACTCATTGTTGATAATGAGCTACCCAATCAAGTCTTAAGTGGCTGTAGCCTTGCAGAAAACTAATTGCTGATGGATAGCAGCCTACAGCTCCGTTTTCAGATGTTCATTGTCTGAGTTCTGGCCTTTGAAAATTCTTGGGTTGGTCATGGCCATAGCATCAGAAGCCTGCTGGGTCCCAGGATTGGCAGAACATTTCTTTGTTAGAAACAAATATTTACAGAGCTAATGCCAGAATAGAGAAAGACATGTTCATCTTTCCTTTTGACTTACTATTCATGGAAATGTCTCCAGTTAGGGACAGAGGTGGTGCAGACCAACAGACACATAACCAGGAGTTGCCCTCCTTCCTCTCTGGGAAGACCCCTCTCTGGGGTCTTCTCAGCTCTCTTATCACCTCCAGATGTAGATGCCATTTGATTTGATTAATTTTTTAGGGTAAGAAAAGTTTTTATAGGTTGCAAAGTAAAAGTGCTAAGTGAATTCAGGTGGTTAAATTCCAGTTCCCCTCTCTTATGTTGAATTCATTCAACTGATCTTAGCACTGATCAAGCAGATCTGGCTGCTGCTAGGCTTTGGGAAGAAATACTAATAATGCTCCATTCCACTTGTTAAAGTGCGTTAAGATTTTTCCTTTCACATCTGTGATCTCATTTCTTGGTGACCTTGAAGAGCAAACAGGTGATTATAGCATCTGTAGTTTAATGATGTTAGTTTAAGTCAACATCATTGCATCATTTAAAAAAAAAAAGTTTTTTCTTTTCTTTATTGATTTTAGAGAGCAAGGGAGAGGGAGAGAGAGATAGAAACATTGATAAGAGAGAACATCAATTGGCCACCTCCTGCATGCCCCCCCCACTGGGGATTTGGCCCACAACCTGGGCATGTGCCCTGATCAGGAATTGAACCAGCAACGTTTTGGTGCATGGGTAGACACTCAACCACTGAGCCACACCGGCTGGGCTTGTTGCATTTTATTAAATGTTTTTATTGATTTTAGGGAAAGAGGAAGGAAGAGAGGGGGAGAAAGAGAGAAACATCGATTGGCTGCCTCCTGCATGCCTCCCTACTGGGGATCAAGCCTGCAACTCCAGCATGTGCCCTGACTGAGAATCAAACCTGCAATCTCTTGGTGCACAGGACAACACCCACCAACTGAGCTATACAGGCCACGGCACATCAGTGCATCTTAAAGATCATTCTTTTCAGACTTGAACACTGCCCAGCATGAATGTCAGGCTTTCAGTCTTAAGATCAGTCGGAGCGACCCTTTAGATCTGATTGATGTCTTTATTTGCCCACGTGCAAGGGAGGCAGGTTTAGGACAAAGACGGGGCTCTGTCTTGTCTTGATGATGAAATGAGCATTTATACGCGAACACAGCAGCTGCCAGCAAGTTTCCAAGTACTTTCTCCTAGCCAGATTCCCCTCTCCTTGAATTTGGCTTTGCTGCCTCGGTACCCATCTGCTGGTAGTAACCAGACTGATAATTGAAGGCAGCTTTCCAACAGAACACTGCCAGGGCCATCTGTTTTCTAACGGCGCGCTAGGGTTTGGGAGGCTGGGTCTTAATTGTTTCTTTAAGATTCAAAATTTTCCCCTGCTTCCCAGAGGGGTAGTTTTTATGTATGGTTTTTTAAAAAATGAGCCTTATGAATGTATCCCCCCCCCCCCAAGGATGGGAGGCTCTCAGTTCTGCCAGTATATGCCAATTCCCTGTTGTCCAGAGGGTGGTACATCACATACTAAAGTACTTATCAGCTGTAAAATCACTGAAGATTGGAAAACAGGTTAAGAAAATAGAGGATTTATAGTATCGTATGTCTTATGTGGTTAATGGGGAAAAGCACTTTTATTTGGCATATAAATATTGCTTGGTTTTTAAATTTTTTATCCTTACCCGAGGACATTTTTGCATTTATCTTCAGATAGAGGGGGAGGAAGAGAGAGAGAGAGACGCATCGACTGGTTGCCACCCACACGACCCCAACTGGGGCCAGGGACAAACTGCAACCGAGGCACGTGCCCTTGGTGGGAACCAAACCCGGGCCTCTCTGGTCCACGGGCCGACACTGTAACCGCTGAGCCAAACTGGCCAGGGCTACTACTTGGTTTTTTAAGATCCAAAAAAAATATAAACGTCTCCCTAGAAAATATAATGAGGCTACCTCTGCATTCCTACTACTTTATTTACATTTTGGTACATGGATACTTCATTTAATCAGGTGCCCAAAGAATCTTTTCCCTGTGAAAGCTCGGGTCCCTCCATCCAGGAGGAATTCTTCCTCCTGGGCTCCAGCCCGATTTCCCACGGCTCCCTCCACCTGTCTTGGGTGGTCAGCACATCCTGGTGTGTGCGAGTGACTGGTTTCACATCTCCCTTCGCTGGGCCACCTGCCCCAAGGGCAGAGACTCTGTCTTACTTATATTTATAATGCCCATTCCAGCCTGTGGCCCACTGTAGATTTTTTTTTGAGATGCACTTACTAAAGGTAGTTTACTCATAAAGACATTCCCCATAACCATGAACCTGAAGATGGTTTATAGTGTAAAGGAAAACTTTTGTTGTGTGAATTTCTTTTTTGTTCCTTAGCACATCAGATCTTTGCAAAGATATATTGGATCATTTAGGTTGCGTAGGAATTTGGAGCTTGTGTCCTTGAGGATCTTTTAAATAGTATCCTCCCCCCTCCCTTATTGATTTTAGAGAGAGAGGAAGGTGGAGGGAGAGAAAAACATTGATGAGAGAGAACATCGATTGGTTGCCTCCTGCATGCCCCCCACTGGGGATTTGGCCCACAACCCGGACATGTGCCCTGACTGGGAATTGAACCGGCGACCTCATGGTGCATGGGTCGATGCTCAACCATGAGCAATCCTGTCCACACCGGCTGGGCAGGATTTTCCTTATGAGTTAACTCATTAACAAGCTTAGGGACAACCAGAAAGTTGAAAGAAACGTATTTCTCAAAGAAAAAGGATTATCATCAGGTTTGGGTTTTGTGCTTTTGTTTTAACTTCTACTCATAAACTCATTGGGTTTCAGGAAGAATGTCTAACTTGATTAAGCACTCAGAGGGAAGTGTGATTCCTCCCCGGGTGAGATGCACAGTCAGTTCCATTAGGGCCCCTTACTAAGGCAGAAGTCGCAGTTTGCCCACGTTTGTTTTGTGTATAACCAAGTCAATGTGCACTTTAGGAAATGAAGAAGGAAAACAACTTCCTTAGGAGCCAGTCTGAGCAAAGTGCCAGAGAAGTCTGCCACCTGCAGGAGGAACTGAAGAAGACCAAGCAGTGTTTGAGTCAGAGCCAGAGTTTTGCAGAAGAAGTGAAGGGTAAGTAAAGCTCAGTGTTTTAGGGTTACTTCTCTGAGCTGAGGTTCCCGTGAGGGAGGATGGATGGCATTAGGAACTTTGAATTTTTCCTCATAGTCTCCCAGAAAGATACCTGCAGTCAATGTGGAGAGTTTTCTCTCTTCCACTTTTTAGTTTCCAGTGTGATAGTTGGACATTTTTTGCTGGAACACAAAAGCACTTTGAAACCAGAAGGGTAAATATTTCTTACCCAAAAGTAAATTGTCCCTGCTGCCGGTGGCCCCAGAGTGCTCTTGTTCCTTTGAAGTGTGTTTGTTAGTTACATCAAGATAGCTCATTCCTCGCTCATTACTATTTCCCTTATAATGGAAGATCCCCATATGAAACCCATGCTGTCCCAGCCCTTAGTGACCATGGATTTTTGATGACTTATTTGACTGGATGAGCTTATTTCCTTTTTTTGGAGCCATAGAATTACGTTGTGCACACCAAATGAATCCATTGCCAGCTCCCCTTGGTCCGTGTCCAGTGTCTTCTACTTACATTCATCTTCTCACCTGGGGTATTTGCACATCTAGGATTTCTTTTACCTGGATTCGTGGTTTGTGTGTCACACTTGTCTTGATACTGTCTTTTTTTAAATTCCCATGGGAAAAGTGAAGTGTTGGTCACCAAGGTCATTATCTCAGATCCTCATGAGCAGAGGTGATTGATAGCCCTTGTGGTCTACTCCAAGCCGTCACTCAGTAGGTAGACGGAGATTAGTAGATTAAAAATAGGATCTATTTTCCACTTTTTGTAACATCTGCATTTAGAATACATGCTGCCTGTATCATTTGCTATTGAGATTCTCCACTTGTGTTCTCCCTCAAAACACTTGGGGTGTATGAAGCCTTCCCATCACTGTTTTTCTTTCTTAGATTAAATGAATTGGGGTGACATTGGTTTCCCATCACTGCTGAATGAAAGCATTGAGGTTACCCTCAACTGGTAGTACCAGTGGGTAGGGCTGTGCTAGGCAGAAAACAAGGTGGTGATGGAGTCTGAAAAAGCTCCCAGATGATCTCAGATTCATAGACACCACCCTTACTGTGAGGGGTGGGATTTGGGTGACACTATTTATTCTCAGAAATACTCATATACAGGCCTCGAGAGTTACTGATTATAGGATCTTTTACTCTTTTGTACTTAATCCTATGGATATTTGCTAAATAATGGACAGTTACTTATATTTTAGAAAATCAGAATTACTCCTTAGTGAAGTGGGTATTTCCGTTTCATTGCTGCTTTTGTCAGTTTTCTCTTTTTCGATAAGTATTTCAAAAAAATTGAAAAATACAGGCATACCTCGGTGATATGGTGGGTTCGATTCCAACCATTGCAATAAAGCAAGTATCACAATAAAGTGAGTCATGATCTTTTTGCTGGAGGAAGGTGTTTCCCTCAGCTTGTAAAACATGCAACACCTTTGAAGGGCGATAAAACAAGTGTTCTGTACAGGTACACATAAACACACACAAAGAAAAAGAAGAAAGTTTCAAGTGCTTAGGAAAACAATCTTTTGATATTTTATACAACAACACTTTATTAAGCTGCTTAGAAAGAAGAGGAACAAATGTATTATCATCCCTAAAAGGACCATGTCTCTCATTGTCTTCATATAAGCTCAGATGATTGGCAAGTGATCTGCTTTGCAGGAGGTGCCCAGGCAATAATGCCAGTTTTTACAGGGCTTAGAAGTTGTTAGTGTGTTTGGATTTACTTTTCAGTTTAAAATTCTTATAAAAAATATCAAAAACACTGATGGTATTTTTTATTTTTTACCTTTAATAGCTAAGAATACTTCTCAGGAAACCATGTTGAGAGATCTTCAAGAAAAAATAAATCAGCAAGAGAATTCCTTGACTTTAGAGAAACTGAAGCTCGCCCTGGCTGATCTGGAAAAGCAGCGTGATTGTTCTCAAGACCTTCTGAAGAAAAGGGAACATCACATTGAACAGCTGAACGAAAAGTTAAGCAAAACAGAGAGAGAGTCCGAAGCTTTATTGAGTGCTTTGGAGGTAAAAGAGAAAGAATTTGAAGAACTGAAAGAAGAGAAAACTCTGTTTTCTCATTGGAAAAGTGAAAATGAACAACTGATCAAGCAGATGGAAGCAGAAAAGCAAAGCTTGCAGAGTAAAATTAATCAATTGGAATCTTGTCTTAAGACACAAAAAATAAAAAGCAGCGAGTACAACGAGAGAGTGAGCACATTGGAGATGGAAAGAGAAAACCTAAGCGCTGAGGTGAGGAACCTTCACAATGTGATCGACAGCAGGACTGCAGAAGTAGAGGCTCAGAAACAAGCTTATGCCGAACTGCAGCAGAAAGCCGAGTTCTCGGATCAGAAACACACAAAGGAAGTGGAAAATATGTGTTTGAAAGTTTCTGAGCTTACTGGGCAAGTGGAAGATCTAAAGCACAAACTTCAGTTACTGTCAAATGAAATAGCGGACAAAGACCAGCGTTACCAAGACCTACATGCAGAACATGAGAGCCTGAGGGATCTGCTAAAATCCAGTGGTTCTTTGGTGGCAAATGAGGCTCATCACAGAAGTCTTTTGACTTTTGAGCAGCAGTCTGCAGTGAATAATTCCTTGACAGATATTCTCAGAGAACAAGGAAGCTTGCCTTCAGAAAGGAGTGATGGCCATGCAGAAGCAGACCAAAGTCTAAAAAATTCAGCCATCTTACAAAACAGAGTCATTTCTCTTGAGTTTTCATTAGAGTCTCAAAAGCAGATGAACTCAGATCTGCAAAAGCAGTGTGAAGAGTTGGTGCAAATTCGAGGAGAAATAGAAGAAAACCTGGTCAAAGCAGAACAGATGCATCAGAGTTTTGTGGCAGAAACAAGTCAACGCATTACCAAGTTACAGGAAGACACGTCTGTCCACCAGAATGTTGTTGCTGAAACTTTAGTTGCCCTGGAGAACAAGGACAGAGAGTTGCAGCTTTTGAATGAGAGGTTAGAAAGCGAGCAAGCAGAGATTCAAGAATTGAAACAGAGCAACCATTTACTTCAAGACTCTCTAAAAGAGCTGCAACTTTTGTCTGAAACTCTGAGCTCAGAGAAAAAGGAAATGAGTTCCACCCTTTCCCTAAATAAAAAGGAAATTGAAGAGCTGACCCAAGAGAATGGGACTCTCAAGGAACTCAATGCAACCTTAAATCAAGAGAAGATGGACTTACTCCAAAAAAGTGAGAGTTTTTCACAGTGTGTAGTTGAAAGGGAAAAAAGTATTTCAGAGTTATCTAGTCAGTATGAGCAAGAAAGGCTCATTTTACTACAAAGATGTGAAGAAACAGGAAATGCACTTGAAGATCTTAGTGAGAAATACCAAGCAGCACAAGAAATGAACTCCACGTTGGAATGCATGCTAAATGAACACACAAGTGTTTGTGAAGATAGGAAAAATGAGTTGGAACAGCTAAAGGAAACATTTGCAAGGGAACACCAAGCACTTGTAACAAAATTAGCTTCAGCTGAAGAAAGAAACCAGAACCTAATACAAGAGTTGGGGTCACTGCAGCAAGATCTGAGAGCTGAGATGACAGAGGTTCAAAACAATTCCAAGAGCGAGGCTGACGGTTTAAAGCAAGAGATCGCGACTTTAAAGGAAGAACACAGCAAAATGCAAAAGGAAGCGAGTGCCTTATTACAAGAGAGTGAGCAACTGACGAAGTTAATGAAGACAAACCGTGAGCATCAAAATCTAGAATGGGACCCAGCCTGTGACTCTGTGACAGAAAGAGACAGCGAGATAAAGACATGTCATGTTCAACTTCCAATGGAGCTTGAAGTTAAAGCTACTCCTTTAGACAGTCATGAGGCACAGCTAGAACAGTTAGAAGCTAAGATAAGAAATACGGAATTACAACTTGAGGAAAGCGAGAAGGAGAAGAAGCGCCTACAGCATGAATTACAGAAAATGAGAAGAGAATTCGAATCTGGAAATTTGCAACGAGACATTCAACCACAAGAAATCAGTGGCCTTCAAGACTGTGGGGCAGACACAGAGGAACAGTACATGTCCATGCTTCATGAGCTGTCAACAAGTCAGAGTGACAATGCACAGCTGCAGTGCTGTCTACAGACGGCAATGACCAAGCTGAATGAGCTCGAGACCATGTGTGACATGCTGCGCGGTGGGAAGTTTGAAGTCATGTCTGAGCTGAATGACTCAGGATCAGAACGCATCACAGCAGCTGCTAAAGTGGCAGAAGGTGTTGAGGAACTGGCCAGTGAAGTTAACACATTAGATGATAAAAATGGGCACTGCCAAGACGTAGTGGAAGAAATGCCAGACGGTGAGCCTAGTGGACAAGAAAAGGCAGAGGTTTCTGCGTCCTCATATCCTTCGGACGACAGTAACGTCTATGAGTGCTTGACACTGTCGAATGAAGAAGTTCGAACGCAGTTTGCCGAACTGCAGGAGAAATTCTCATCCTTACAAAGCGAGCACAAACTTCTATACGCGCAGCACAGCCTCATGAGCTCCAAGATGTCAGCGCTGCAGTCCTACGTTGACACTTTAAAGGCAGAAAACTCGGCCTTGTCACTGAGTCTGAGAAACTCGCCAGGTGACTCAGGAAAGGAGGGGAAGATGGAACTCGGAGAGGGGCATTCACTTTCGCTGTCGTTCTCTTGTGTGGCTGACAGCCCTAGTCTTACAGGTCTGGGAGAACTGTCATTTTGCAAAGATCTATCAGAACAGACACGAGAATCATCCCTTTTGAATAGTTCAGAAGTGAATGTTTCTGCAAACCAGTCTAACTTAGAGGAGGTATCATGCAGCAGTCTGGAGGAGGAGGATCTGCCCAAGAACGCAGTCCCATCAGCCCCGGAGAGAAGTGTGGAAGAACTTGAGATCCTCTGTCAGATCTACCTGCAGTCCCTCAAGAAGCTGGAAGAGAAAATTGAAAGTCAGGAGATCATGAGAAAGAAGGAGATTGAAGAGCTTGAACAGTTGCTCGGTTCTGAAAGGGAAGAACTCGACAGCCTCAGGAAGCAGCATTTGTCGGAGAGCGAACAGTGGCAGCAGAAGCTGGCAAGCGTGACGGCAGACATGGAGTCCAAGTTGGCGGCAGAAAAGAAACAGTTGGAACATCTGTCACTGGAGCTCGAAGTAGCCCGACTCCAGCTGCAAGGTCTGGACTTAAGTACCCGATCTTTGCTTGGCACTGACCTTGAAGATGTAAGTACATGGAGTTACATGCTATTTCTCTAATGACATGTCTAGTAGTCACTCCATAAGTGTTCGTTGAATTGAAATCAACATTGAATCTAACTTTAAATATTTTTAGAGTTCAAGGGCATAACAAAAAATATCCCGAGGTTTTTTGTTTGCTTTTTAAAACAAACCAGAACTTTAGGGACATGCATAACCTTTTTGGGGAGATAAATCTCTTCAGTGATTACATTTAAATGCTATTATATGGGAAATTACTAAAGATGTTTTTGAAACATTTGGAGAATATTATATTATGGTGTCTTCAGGGTGTGTGCATTGTAGGTTTTCCTTCTTTGTAAGATGATAAAGTGCACTGACATGTTAAATGAGAGCTTAGGCATGGCAGTGTGATACGGATTTAACATCCTTGCCCTTTCAGGCTGTTTTAAATGTTACAGCATTACGGTCGTGAAACTAATGTAAGAGTATATTACATATCACTGAATCATTTTCTAACAATTTGTTCTGATTACAAATCTGTGATTTGGTATCAGTCGTTCAAAAAGACATTTCTTTATTGAGGACACTCGCTCAGTTACTTATGACTGTCCTAGTCTGGCAGCCAAGCTAACGACGAGGCTCACTCCGTGCCCTGGTCTGCCTCTGCAGATGGGAAGGGCAGCTGGGGAAGAGGCAGCAGGAGTTGAGCAGCTGATCCCCCTTGTACAGACGAGAGGCAGATGATGTCCAGACATGTGATTTATCGAAGCATGTAGGTCGTGAGTACAGGCTCTGTGCTTCAGTCCTTGGGCTGGCCATCCTGAAACCTTCTCATCGACGACTATCAGAAATGCTGAAGATGGAAGCTGAGCATTTTATGTGGATAATCACAAGGAGAAATTTCACATTTAGGCTGCCTAGCCTCATTCCTAGCAAGAAAAACAAGATGAAATTGAAGTGCATGCCAATGTAGATGGTCAAATCACTGAAGGGTTTGTCTCCATGGTAAATACCTCACCCAGTGCCTTGCCCAGAGAGAACACTTACTGAATTTTAGTTTAATTGTGTTGACTGTTTGTATGGAGAGAAGAGAATGTGGTAGGAAATAGGTCATTTGAAGAGATGTATTTAGCAGAGGCAAGAAGCCTGTTTCTATAAAGTAATAATTAAGCCTATTTATTCTATTATGATTCTTCCCAAAACATAAACTGCATTCTCGTTTTGTGTCACAACCGCAGGCTGCTCAGGATGGAAACGATAGCTGTGACACACACGAATCCGAAGTCAAAGAGAGAACACCCGAGCAGGACATCCGTCCGAGTCGTGAAAAGGATGTTGAGCAGGACCAGAGTCTGGGGGTGGAGAAAATCACCGCGGCCGGGGCACGTTCTCAGGAGCGGCCCCCAGAAACCAGTGCTGAGTCCACACTGGGAGACAAAGCCCAGCACTTCCCAGAATGCATTTCCGAGTCATCACTTTCTGGTCCTAATGCTTTGGTACCTATGGATTTTCTAGATTCTCAGCTAACCACTCAGGATCTCCAACTGGAAGAGACATCGAATGAGAATTTGGAAGTACTTCCTGTCACTGAGGAACGTGACAAAAATGTTGAAATTTTGCTAAGCGAGATAAAAGAGTTAGATTCCAAACTCAGTTTACAGGAAGTACAACTACCAGCCAACGTTGGAACATGCAGAGAATCGGGGAAATCAGTGGAGGAACTTAAGAAAGAAAAATCAGATTTAATGGAAAAAATGGAATCCTTTTGTGATAACCCAGAGCTCCACCAGAGAGTAGAAAGGCTGGGAGGCCTCAACGCTAGTTTAGAAACAGGCACAGTGCAGTTGTCACCGGAAGTCCCTGCAGGGAACACAGCCCAGGTGAACAGCCAGTGGAGAGAGAGGTGCATCGACGTGGAGAAGGAGCTGCAGAGGGTCCAGTCTGAGAAAGGCAGCGCGGAGCAGCACGCCCGCTCTCTGGAAGCCGACTTAGGGAGAGTCCAAGCGGAGAAGCTGCATTTAGAACAAGACAGTGAAACAAAGCAGCGAGTTATCAGCTGTCTTGAGGAAGAACTCTCCATCGTCTCAAGTGAGAGAACCCGGCTTCGTGGAGAACTGGAGATGCTGTCGAAAGAAAACAAAGAACTGGACCTGACGTCTGAGAAGATGAGGGAGGAAATCCGGGAGCTGGAAGCTCACCGCGGGGAGCGTCAGCAGCACGTGGACCTGCTGGAGGCCGAGCTGAAGGACAAGTCACAGCTGCTTCAGACTCTGTCCGCCGACAACGCCCGCCTCCAGGCGCAGCTGCAGAGTTTGGAGGAGGACTCGCAGGCGCTGTCTCTGGGAAAGGGGGACCTGGAGACCCAAATCGGACAGTTGAAGAACGAGAAGGAAGTGCTGGCGAGGGAATCCGAAAGCCTGCAGACCAGGCTGGGTGACTTGGAGCAGGAGAAGCTGACCGTGGCCAGGGCCTTGGAGGCCGCAGTGATGGAGAAAGGCGAGGTCGCCGGGAGGCTGAGCTCAACCCGGGACGAGGTGCAGCAGCTGCGCAGCGGCATGGAGAGACTGCGCGTCCGCATTGAGGCCGACGAGAGGAAGCAGCTCCACGTCCTGGAGAAACTGAAAGAGAGGGAGCGCGAGAAGGACGCGCTTCAGGATAAAGTGGAGACGCTCGAGAGGGAGTTGCAGGTGGCGGAGGAAAACCAAGAGGCGCTGATTCTCGATGCGGAAAATTCCAAAGCAGAGGTGGAGACTCTAAAAACGCAAGTAGAACTGAGCACCGAACGCCTGGAAGCTTTAGAATTAAACCTCGGCTCGGCAAGGTCTGAAAAAGAAAATCTGACCAAGCAGCTACAGGAAACACAGGGTCGGGTGTCTGAATTAGACGCGTTGATCTCTTCATTTAAAAGCCTATTAGAAGAAAAGGAGCAAGAAAAAAGACAGATGAAGGAAGAATCTAAAGCTGCGGTGGAAATGCTTGAAGCAGAATTGAAAGAGCTGAGTGAGGAGGTGGCGGCCTTGTGTGATGACCGAGAACCCGGGAAGGTCGGGGAACAGAGCCTGGGCTCCCCAGTGGGGGGCGTGCACCAGCTGAGAAATCGCATTGAAAAGCTGAAGGTCCACCTAGAAACTGCTGAAAAGCAGCAGCAGGAGACTAAGCACCGTGCAGATTTGCTTAAGGACAGAGTGGAGAACCTGGAAAGAGAATTAGAGATGACAAGAAAAAACCACGAGCTTGTGATTCTGAAGGTGGAGAACTCCAAAGAGGAGGTGGGGGCCCTCAAAGCAAAAATAGAGGCGATGGCCCCAAATCTGAGAGATTTGGAATTAGACCTTGTCAACACAAGGTCAGAAAAAGAAAATCTGACAAAAACGTTACAAAAAGAGCAAGGACGAGTGTCTGAATTAGAAACATTAAATTCTTCATTTGAAAATCTGTTACAAGAAAAAGAGCAGGAAAACGTTCAGCTGAAAGAAGACTCGAAAATCTCCGAGCAGAGGCTTCAAACACAATTAAAAGAGCTACAGGAGAAAGTGACCGCCCTGTGTGATGATCAACAGACCTGGAAGGCCAAAGAACAGGATCTGAGTGGTCAAGTAGATTATCTTGAACATGAGAAGTCTCAGTTGCTGCAAGGACTTGACGAAGCCAAAAGTAATTACATCATGTTGCAGTCCTCTGTAAACGGCCTCCTTCAGGAAGTAGAAGATGGCAAACAGAAACTCCAGATGAAGGACGAAGAAATCAGTGTACTGAAAAATCAAGTCCAAGACCGAGAGCAACTTGTCTCGAAACTGTCCCAGGTGGAAGAGCAACAAGTTTGGAAGAAGCAAAAAGCAGAACTGGAAAATCTGATGGTGGAAATGGAGCAGAAGATCCAAGAGCTGCAGTCCAAAGAAGACACTTTGCAGGACACCTTTGAGGCACTGCAGACTTCTTACAAGGACCTGGAGAAAGAGCTTGAATTGACAAAAATGGAAAAAATATCCTTTGTTGAAAAAGTAAGTGGTTTTACCTACATTTGCATAAAGTCATGAGGGCGGGAAACCACTGGGTGAGTTCTGTTTCGTTCCGGAGGGTGTTTGCAGTATTGGACCCAACTTTGCAAAGGCTTGACGTTTATGGGGTCTTGGACTTTGGGGACATTGAGTTGGATACAGCAGTAGTGACTCTTTCTTTGCTTTGGCACACGTTTGCATGGGACTCCTCTTCTATGCATTGGCCCAGTTTTTCAGTGTGGCACCTGGACATAGAAGAAGCTCTGGGTTATGCACCGTTCCAGGTTCTAATTACACTTCCCTTTCCCCAGTGCATCAGAATAGTAACCTCCCCATACCCAGGTTAGAACCACTGCTACAGTGAGTGTAACAGGTACTAGTTAGGAGCAGAAGGATTCCCACTACCCCTATCCTGCCTTTATTGCCTTTAGGAGAAAGAGCATTTAGGATGGTGAAATAATTGTCCCCAATAGAATCCTCACAGCTCCCAGTATGTGTCCAGGGGACTTTGTGCTTTTAGTTTCCCTCTTCTATACCTTCTCCGTGTGCGGGCTCCTGTTTTATTAGCTGATGCTTCAAGGGCAAATCTTTCATCAAGAGGCTCACTTGTTAATGAAAAATCAAGTTTTTTGCCCTTTATGCTTACTGATCTAGGAAAAGTGATTCCTTCAAATCACATAATTTACTGGACAAATATTAAAAGGAAAAGGTTGTGTCCAGAAGATGCAATTGATCATAACTCTTTCCCAAGAATTTGAAGTTTTTGGATGGTTTGCAAGAGATGACGGTTTCAAATCACCTTGCGGAGATGATTAGAAAACTATACCACGCTGTTTCAACGTCAAGGAGCAAATGCCAACAGAGTTTAGCTGGCCGCAACTCGGAGCCGCGTCTCAGCTCAGTGTGGCACTGGCGGATTAGCAGGGATCCAGAAATGATCAATTCTAAGACACTGCCTCATAGAGTATTCTCTGAGGTTTTAGTTTAATTCAAATTAATGCCTTTATGAAGGATTTTAATATTGACTAATATTACCTTTCCTTGTCATTCCTTTCCTTATTGTTGTCTTTTATTAAATCTTTGCTGAGAAGGAAAGGTGAGGATTTGAGCATATTAATTGAGTGGATCAGTAAATGGAGTCTTAGCTGGGTTTCCATTTTCTTATTGAACCCTGAAGTGAGGTCATGAATATGTCGAGTCAGTGGGATTAATTTGATCAAAACAGGCGACCAGAAACAAATCCTGATGAAAGGTTAAATTTCAGGTAAGCGCACTGACTTCGAAGGAAACTGAGCTGCGGAGGGAAATGGACGAGATGGTGCAGAAAATGTCGGAGCTGAAGGAAGAATTCAGTGGGGAGAAAAATAGGCTAATTGAAGAATTAAATTTAATGTCAGAAGAATTCAAGAACAGCAAAGTAAGTTTCTCTGTGACAGATTGATAATTCAGTGTACACACTCTCCTTGTTTGTTTTTGTAAGACCTTCTGTAATGTACCAAATGTGTTTTTAGCTTTGGAAAAAAATAACCCCATGCTTATGTCGTGATCAGACGCTTCAGTAATCTTCACCAGCCAGCACTGTCGTGAGCCCAGGAGTCCCGAGAGGCCTCTGAACATGTGACCAGACCCGCCACAGAGCCCAAATACTTTTTCATAGAAGAGGACCCTTGTACTGTATTAACTCACATCAGAAATAGATTTCACACAGCTTTCAGTGGTCTGCTTTCGTAGCCTGCCACAGATTACAAGCCAGAATGTTGCTAGAGACAGATGCACTGATCTTGTAAGAAGAACTAACAAAATAACGGAAAGAAAGTTACAGTAAAATGTAAAGTTAGAGCCGTCTTGGGTGGTATTTTAGAGCAAGGTCAGTGTGGCAGATGTATAGCATTTGGGCTACAGCTCCCCATTGCTGTTCCCATAGCAACACTGCTGATGCATGCCACCCCCTCCCTCCTGAGTCTCTCCCACTGAGTTCCAGGTAGCAGCCACCTTGCGTACAGAGCAACTGATGCAGTGGGACCTGTTTGCCAGACTCAGTTAAATGGTAAACATTCCTCTATCCATATAGCCCTCACTGCAGCTTCATCCTAAGGAATACTAAGAAAAGGATAACGAAATACAGTTGTGATCAGGATCCTGAATAATCACAAAAGTTGAAGTGGTGTTTGTAATAGCTTGTAAAAGAAGCTGGGGGGATTGGTACTTTTGTTTATTTTATTGTTATTGTTTTTAATCAGTAATGATCTTTTATTATTTTTATTGTTGAAAGTATTTCAAGTATCCCTTTTTTTCCTCCCATTGAACCCCTCCTTCCTCCTAGCACCCTCTTGCTTTTCCCAATCTGATGTCTGTCTATTGGTTGTGCATATATGCATATAAGTTCTTTGGTTTATCTCTTCCCCCCACCCCCCACCCCCCATCCCCCATCCCTCTGAAGTTTTAGTCTGTTCCCTACTTGCATGACTTTGGATCTCTTTTGGTGAACAGCTTATTTTGTTCGTTATGTTCCATAAATAAGTGAGATCATGTGGTACTTGTCTTTCTCTGATTGTCTTATTTTGCTCAGCATAATACTCTCCAGTTCCCTCCATGTGATCTCAAAGGGTAAGAGATCTCTTTCTTACAGCTGCATAGTATTCCATTGTGTATATATACCACAGCTTTTTTTATCCTCTTATTTACTGATGGACACTGGGGCTGTTTCCAGATCTTCGCTATTGTAAATAGTGCTGCTATGAACATAGGGGTGCATATATTCCTCCTGATTGGTGTTTCAGACTTCTTAGGATATATTCCAAGAAATGGGATGACTGGGTCAAATGGCAGTTCCATTTTTAATTTTTTGAGGAAACACCATATTGTTTCTATAGTGGCTGCACCAGTCTGCATTCCCACCAGCAGTGTACTAGAGTCCCCTTTTCTCCACACCCTCGCCAGCACTTGTTTGAGGATTTTTTGATGGCAGCTGTTCTGGCAGGTGTGAGGTGATATTTTATTGTCATTTTAATTTGCATCTCTCTGATGATTAGAGATGTTCAGCATTTTTTCATATTTCTCTGGCCATTTGTATGTCCTGTTTGGAGAAGTGTCTATTCAGGTCCTTTGCCCATTTTTTAATTAGATTGTTTGTCTTTCTTTCGTTGAGTTTTATGAGTACTCTATATATTTTGGATATTAATCCCTTATCTGATGTATGATTGGCAATTATGTTCTCCCAGAGAGTGGGTTCCCTTTTCATTTTGATGCTGGTTTCTTTTGCCATGCAGAAGCTTTTTAGTTTGATGTAGACCCATTTATTAATTTTTCCCTTTGTCTCTCTTGCCCTAGGCAATGTATCAGTGTAAATTTTGCTATGTATGATGTCTGAGATTTTTCTGCCTTCATTTTCTTCTAGGATTTTTATGGTTTCACAAGTTACATTTAAGTTTTTTATCCATTTTGAGTTTATTCTTGTGTATGGTATAAGGTGGTGGTCTAACTTTATTTTTTTGCTTGTAGCTGTTCAATTTTCCCAACACCATTTATTGAAGAGACTGTCTTTTCTCCATTGTATGCGCTTGCCTCGTTGTCAAATATTAATTCCACATACTGTCTTGGGTCAATTTCTGGGTTCTCTGTTTTGTTCCATTGATCTATATCCTGTTCTTGTGCCAGTACCAGGCTGTTTTGATTACGATGGCTTTGTAGTATAACTTGATATCTGGTATTGTGACCCCCTCCCACTTTGTTCTTTTTCAAGATTGCTGTGGCTATTTGGAATCTGTTTTGGTTCCAGATAAACTTTTGGAGTATTTGTTACAGTTCTGTGACATATGCCACTGGTACTTTAATAAGGATTTCATTGAATCTGTAGATTGCTTTGGGTAGTATGGACATTTTAATAATGTTGATTTTTCTAATCCATGAACATGGTATATGTTTCCACTTTTTTATATCTTCCTTTATTGCTTTTTTCAATGTCCTATAGTTTTCTGAGAACAAGTCTTTTACTTCCTTAGTTAAGTTTACTCCTAGGTATTTTTTTGTTGTTGTTACCATGGTAAACGGGATTTTTTTGTTTGTTTGTTTCCCTTTCTGAGTGTTCATTATGGTGTATAAGAATGCAATTGATTTCTGGATGTTAATTTTTTTTATTGGAATAATTTTTTTATTTTTTTATGGTTTTTGTTTTATTTTTTTTTCCTCTCCAATTTTTATTATTTTTTTGTTACAGATGTTTCTCCTTTTCACCCCCTAGACCTCCTACCCCCCCCATTCCACACCCCTGGATGTTCATTTTGTATGCTGCTACTTTGCCAAATTTATTTATTAAATCTAGTAGATTTTTGATGGAGTCTTTAGGGTTTTCTGTGTACAATATCATGTCATCTGTGAATAATGACAGTTTCACTTCCTTCTTTCTGATTTGGATCCCTTTTATTTTTATTTCCTGTTTAATTGCTGTGGCTAAGACTTCTAGTACCAAATTAAATAAAAGTGATGAAAGTGGGCATCCCTGTCTTGTTCCTGTTCTTAAGGTAAATGCTTTTAGTTTTTGCCCATTGAGTATGATGTTGGCCTTTAGTATCATATATGGCCTTTATTATGCTGAGATATGATCCTCCTTTTTCCACTTTGCTGATCGTTTTTATCAGAAATGGGTGCTGGATTTTGTCGAATGTTCTTTCAGTGTCTATTGATATGATCATATGATTTTTATCTTTCATTTTCTTTATGTGGTGTATCACATTTATTGATTTGCAAATACTTTAGCAGCCTTACATCCCTTGGATGAATCCTGCTTGGTCTTGGTGAATAATTTTTTAAATGTATTGCTGGATTCTGTTTGCTAATATTTTGTTGAGGGTTTTGGCATCTGTGTTCATCAAGGATATTGGCCTGTAGTTTTCTTTCTTTGTAGTGTCTATTTGGTTTTGAAATTAGTATTATGCTGGCCTCATAAAAAGAGCTTTTAAGTCATCCTTCTTGAATTTTTTGGAATAGTTTGAGGAGAATTGATGTTAGTTCTTCTTTGAATGTTTGGTAAAATTCCCCTGTGAAGCTAACTGGACCCAGGCTTTTGTTTGCTGGGAGTTTCTTGATTACATCTTCAATTTCCTTAGTTATTGGTCTATTCAAGTTTTCTGCCTTTTCCGGGTTCAGTTTTGGGAGACTGTGAATCTAGTAATTTGTCAATTTCACCTAGATTGTCCAATTTGTTGGTGTATAACTGTTCATAGTATTTTTTAACAATCCTTTGTAGTTTTGTGGTGTCAGTTGTTACTTCTATCCTTTCTTATTTTGTTTATTTGGGTCTTCTCTCTTTGATTCTTGGTGGGTGTGGCTAACGGTTCATCAATCTTGTTTATCTTTTCAAAGAACCAGCTCTTTGTTTCATTGATCTTTTAAATTGTTTTTTAGTCTCTATGTTGTTTATTTCCACTCTGACTTTTACTGTTTCTTTCCTTCTACTTACTCTGGGTTTTTCTTTTTGTTTACTTTCTAGTTCTTTAAGTTGTAGGGTTAGATAGTCTATTAGACATTTTTCTTGTTTCTTGAGGTAGGCTTGGAGTGCTATGAATTTCCTTCTCAGGACTGCTTTCACTGTGTCCCATAGATTTTTTTTGTTGTTGTATGTTCATTTTTGTTAATTTCCAGGAAGTTTTTTATTTCTTCCTTGATTTCCTTGGTAACCCATTGATTGTTTAATAACATTCTATTTGGCCTCTGTGTGTTTGAATGTTTTTGAGTGTTTTTATTGTAATTAATTTCTAGTTTCATGCCATTGTGATCTGAGAAGATGCTTGATATGATTTCAATCATCTTGAACTTTTAGAGATTTAGTTTGTGTCCTAACATGTGGTCTATCTTTGAGAATGTCCCGTGTGTACTTGAGAAGAATGTGAATTCTTCTCTATTTGCTGAGCCAAACTGGCCAGGGCTGTTATTTGTATTTCACTTATAGGCTTTGCTAAAAAGAAAAAGCTAGGTGTTTACCCTTAAGTTTATACATATGAATGTGGTAGCTTGCAACGGCTTCATTCATTCATCGATTCACTCGTTCATTCGTTCATTTGTTCATTCATTCGTTTGCTCTTTCATTCTGTTAATGACAAACACTGCTAAGGTTAGGGGATAGAATGCCGAACCGTAGCTCTGTGTTTTTGTACTCACTGAGCTTACAGTCTAGACACACAATAAAGCATCACATAGGAAACTTGACAAAATCATAAACAGCTAAGTGCTGTGAAGGAAACACGTAAGAGTCTTTTTGCAGAACAGTTGGGATTGGTGTGTGGTGGTAGACAATAACCTGAGATCAGTTGGTTAGAGGATGTCGCCTGCAGGATGAGGAGTCAGTCCTGCGAAGAACCAGCTGGAGGACGGAACCTTCTGGGTCTAGAGGGCAGTGTGGTCAAGTCTTTGAGATTAGGAAGCTCTTTGTATTTTTCTCAGAAATTGAAAGGAAGCCACTGTGGCTGGAATGAGATGGAAAATGATATGGAAAAAAGATGGGAGGGGAAGGAAGGCTGTGGTCAGTGTGAGAATAAAATCTGGAGTGACACCAAATACAGGCTGGCGTTTTTAAAGGAAAGATTTGGGGTGGATACATTCCTGTGGCTAGTTCAGAATATCAACCGAATTTAAAATTGTGGGAATGGTGGAAAGTACAATCCGAGCCCAGAGGACCTCCAGCGTGCAGAGCGAGATGCACGAGGAAGAGCTAGCAGGGAAACTGAAGACGTGATGAAGCCAACCAGGGGGCAGCGTGTCCTAGCAGCCAGGAGTGGAGGCTCTCTCAAGGCAGGAGGAGTGGCCAGCAGCCTCAGACCCCACTTAGAGGTCAGATAGAGGAGGAGTGAAGAGTGCTCCTCGGGTCTGCAACATGGAGGTGGAGGATGCCGTGCAAAGCTGCTTCAGGAGGAGTTTGGCTGAAACCAGGCTGGAGTGGGCGATGAGGACGTGGACACGGCATGTGTATAGACACGTATAGAAGCAGCTCTTTGGGATCAGGCGCAGGGAAGGCAGATGCCTCCAGGGCTGGGGTTTGCCTGTCCTGTGCAGAGGAGAGGCGGGAGCAAAGAGTTCAGAGCATTTGGAAGGAATTCTCTCAGTGATAGATCATGGACTCTAAGTTGGTCGAGGCAGAAAACTAAGTCTGGAGGGGCTTGATTGTGAAGGTCGTCGTGGTGGTGCTGTGGATGAGGTCAAGGAATTACTGCAGTGGGAACACTTGACTAAGTGAGCCTGGTAGCTTGGGAGGGTCTAGTCCCAGAGTGGTTTAGTGGGGGTCAGGTTTCAGAGATGATCCTGTGATCCCCTGGGGTCTTGAGGGTTTTGGGTTTGGAACAGAGGAAACTGTCACTGGACATGAAGTTGCAATTTAAAGTGAATACCTTGCCAAGGATGATAGCACTATTCTGTATAGATTTTTGCCTTGCCTGTAAACTATCTCCCCCCACCCCCAGTACTCAATATTTCTTGAAGATATATATCAAGGTTCTTAATTATTTTCCCATGATTGTATAACTTTTCTCATTAGAGTCAATTGAAGGAATTCATGCTAGAAAACAGTGAATTGAAAAGGAGCTTGGATAGCATACACAAAGACCAGATGGAAAAGCAAGAGAAAATGAGAGAAGAAATAGCCAAATATCAGCTACTGCTTCAGGAAGCTGAAAAGAAACACCAAACTTTGCTTCTGGATACAAACAAACAGGTGAAACGTGGAGTTTGGTTATTGGGGGAACCGGAGATGTGTGTTGACCATGGTAGTGAAGCTCATTTCTCACAAGGTTGAATTTCCGCATTATTATTTTGATATAAGACCTTAGGAGGGTCCTGTCATATCTTCACTGTATTTCCTCTAGTTACTTGCACATGTCTCACTTTAAAACTGAATTTTTAAAATACATCTCCACCTGGCCGGTGTGGTCAGTTGGCTGAGCATCATCCCATGTACCGAGAGGTTGTCCGTTCGATTCCCAGTGAGAGCACATGCCCAGATTGCAGGCTCGATCTCCAGTAGGGGGCGTGCAGGAGGCAGCCAGTTGATGTTTCTCTTGCATAGATGTTTTTATCTCTCCCTCTCCCTTCTTCTCTTCTAAAATTAATAAAAACATTTAAAATAAAAAAAAATACTATGTCCATCTTGGAGTAGAGAGAGTTACAAAGGCCATTTGAAATGGTCCTTGGAACAGCAGTTTTATTTTTTGTTTGTTTTGCATATGTTTTTTTCTTTATTGATTTTAGAGAGAGAGATAGAAACATCAATGAGAGAGAACATCGATTGGTTGCCACCTGCATGCCCCCCATAACCTGGGCATGTTCCCTGATGGGGAATCGAACCGGCGACCTCTTGGTACATGGGTTGATGCTCAACCACTGAGCCACACTGGCCAGGCTGCTTACAATGTTTTTATCTGAGCCTCCTGTCTAAAGGAGCATTTTCTGCCTTAGTATGAAATGGAAATCCAGACATATCGAGAGAAGCTGACTTCTAAGGAAGAAAGTCTCAGCTCCCAGATGGTGGAGATCAATCTCTTGAAGTCCAGTAAAGAGGAACTCAATAATTCTTTGAAAGCAACCACTGAACTTTTGGAAGAACTGAAGAAAACCAAGGTATGTTTGCTTCTCCTTGCTTTATGACTTCGAATGATTCATACAGAATAACTGGTTTTAATGGTATTGAACGACAAGGTTTCATTTAATTTTTATGAAAGTGTCTTTTGTAGTTATTAATAATATCACTTCAGTTCTCTGCTGAGTTTTAATTACATCAGTGGATGGCCTACAGTCTCATAGCTTGAATGAACCTGATCCATTGCTCAGTGAACCCTCTCAAACCAGAGGATGTTAAAGACTTCTTGAGATGGATGTGAAGATCAGACGACAGATTAGAGTAGGCCCCTAGGTAATAATTTGGTGGCTATTTCCAAAGTCTTGCTTGATGGGTCTCCAAGTTCACTATTGTCACCAAACTCACTTTCCTCTGGAAGAGGTGAGGCAAAGCCTTCGGTCAGGCACAGGTGTGTGCCTTCTCTTCCTCCTCTGCTCGCTTGGCTCAGGGTCCTTAGACTGGAGGTGGTGCGTCAGTAATTCTGCTGGGAAAGGGAGGTTGTTTTGAGTCTTACAGATATTTTTCATAAAATGAATACCATCCAGAATGTAAATATTGAACCTGGAAAATGTCTTCCAGTAAAGGTCTGTAGTAAAAGATAATTTAAATTTTTAAAATTATGATGTTTGCATATAGAATATATTCAAACAGAAAACTAGGTCTAAACTTCTTAGGGTTATTGCTCTTACACAGTTATGGAGGAAATATACCAATAAAATATACCAATAAAATACACACGAAATTCAGAATAACATTAATGATCAGTGATGTTCTGTTACAAAATGAGAGATGCTAGATTTAATAATAGAAAGAATTGGCTTGGGTCTACTTTTTTACTTACTTTCTGCCTGTTTAATCTTGGACAGTTTTGTTGTGGGGAATGTCTGTATATGTACCATGTACAAAATGGTGCACTGTTGAGTCTGTTCAGATCACGTCATTTTAATGTTGATAAGCACTGTTGGAATTGAATTGATCTATCTCTATCAGTTATGGTTAGAATCAGTGATGGGAAATTTCTCAAGTGCAAATGAACTGCAGCATTGCTGATGAATGGTTTCCAGATGAAACCTACAGAGAACCAAGTCACTAGCAACTTGATCATGGTGCTCGGGTTCTGTTTTAAAAAAAATAGTTTGTGCCTTGGCCAGTTTTCTCAGCGGTTAGAGCATCGGGTCCCAGGTTTGGTTTCCGCTAAGGACATGTACCTCGGTTGCAGTTTATCCCTGGCCCTGGTTGGGGTTGTGTGGGTGGCAACCACTCGATGTGTCTCTCTCACATCGATCCCCCCCCCCCCCCCCGCCCCGCTCTATCTGAAGATAAATGCAAAAATGTCCTCGGGTAAGGATAAAAAAAAAAGCTTGTTTTGCCTTTTTATATATTCATGATCTCTTACCAGAAACTCTTAGACTCTATTGTTTTAGAATTCTGCATTTTAAACTATTACATAATACAATGTATATGTCACATAGTATATAACATCCTAGCAGGGCGGGGTGGTAATTCGTACAGTTCATATTTCTGTAGCAAAATGTGTCACTATTCTCACAAGGTAGGAGAAATAAAAACTAAATACCTTGGTATCAGGTCAAGTTTGGCTCCTGAGTCACTTTCAGAGCGTTTTGGATGTTGCCCTTGTGGTTCAGGGGCTGAAGGTCCCTTCCTGAGAAATGCACCATGCCGCAGCTCTCCCGCACTCTGTTACTCACTTTCTAGTTGAGCTACCTACAAAATTTAAATTTGTATTGTGAGCTGTAACGGTGTTTAGCCTCTGCTTGGTGTGACTAAAAAAATGCCATCTTGGGTATTGAAATCTCGTACCAGCGCAAGATTACAGATGGGAACACGATCCTCCCAGGGAGAGTCTTTGACCCACCAAGAATACGTCCATGGACTCCTATCCCCACCCCCAGGTGCGATTCCCATCGAATAAACACAGGCATGGGCGCCACCTAAGAGAACATTGTCTTAGCACCATGCCCTGTGCTTGCTGATGCTAAGGGCAGTGGCAAAGCCCCTGTCTGCTGGGGACATGGAGGAAACGGAGTAGAAAAGGTGAATTGTTTAATTCATCTTTAGATGCTTTAGTTGGAACATAATGATTCTTAAATTTACAATATAGGAGTCTTAATTATATTTCAAAATTCGTGTTCTGTGTGCTCATAAAAGAAAGGGAAGGTTTCACATTCAAGTGTTTGTTTTATAGACGGACAGTCTAAAACATGCCAATCAGCTGAAGAAGGAAAAGGAGCGTGCCCAGGGGAAAATAAAGCTGTTGATCAAAGCCTGTAAGCAGCTGGAAGAGGAGAAGGAGCTGCTGCAGAAAGAGCTGTCTCACCTTGAAGAAGCTGCGCGCGAGAAACAGAAATCAGGTGGGGGCAGCGGGCGCAGCCAGGAGCCAGAGTGTGGGAGTCCTGGTGTGCGCGGGAATCCTGGTGTGTGTGGGAATCCTGGTGTGCGCGGGAATCCTGGTGTGCGCGGGAATCCTGGTGTGCGCGGGAATCCTGGTGTGCGCGGGAATCCTGGTGTGCGCGGGAATCCTGGTGTGCGTGGGAATCCTGGTGTGCGCGGGAATCCTGGTGTGCGCGGGAATCCTGGTGTGCATGGGAATCCTGGTGTGTGTAGGTCAGGGCAGCGGGCGCAGCCAGGAGCAGGAGCTTGGGAATCCTGGTGTGTGTGGGAATCCTGGTGTGCGCGGGAATCCTGGTGTGCACGGGGAATCCTGGTGTGCGCGGGAATCCTGGTGTGCACGGGGAATCCTGGTGTGTGTGGGAATCCTGGTGTGCGCGGGAATCCTGGTGTGTGTGGGAATCCTGGTGTGCGCGGGAATCCTGGTGTGTGTGGGAATCCTGGTGTGTGTAGGTCAGGGCAGCGGGCGCAGCCAGGAGCAGGAGCTTGGGAATCCTGGTGTGTGTGGGAATCCTGGTGTGCACGGGGAATCCTGGTGTGTGTGGGAATCCTGGTGTGTGCAGGTCAGGGCAGCAGGGGCAGCGGGCGCAGCCAGGAGCCGGAGTGTGGGAATCCTGGTGTGCGTGCACAGGCACCTGTACAGTGCTCTGCTCCTCACTGCGTGCTGATTCTCAGCGGTGGTCCATTTTCCAGTCTCATAACTTTGTGCTCGGCATTCAGAATGAAGCCTGCATTCCTAAATAGGATAAGATGACCACATCTCCTGTCCTATAACATATACAAAACCCGGCAGCACTTTGTGCTCCTGGGCCATTCCAGGGAGAGCTTTTCTTGTGACGTCATCTGTGTCATTCCTGCGGCACAGGCAAGATGGCCTCTGAGCGGGCACACGCAGTGTACAAACAGCTGGTTCTGCTCGTCCTCGGCCTTTCCTCACGAGTCAGCCAAGTTGGGTGGGTTGGCTGAAATACGAGTTTGAGATTTTGGTGGGTTTTATTTGAACTGTCCTAATAAGATTTAAGAAATCTACTAGAATATTTACCTTGATAAGATCCCTCCCAAACAAGGGCTGTTTGAACTATAAGAACATGTATAGACACGTCTCCCCTACTTCTAACGAAAAAAAATAAAAAAACACGTGTAAGGGTTTCTGCTTTATGATGCCCAGTGTCCGCTGGAGGAGTGTCTGGGGACACGGTGTGATTTCTGACAGGTGCTGTCGGGGATGCCAGCGTAGATGACTTAAGGGCCGAGGTGAAAGAGCTGACGGAGACCCTGGAAGAGAAGAGCAAGGAGGCAGACGAATACCTGGATAAGTACTGCTCACTGCTCATCAGCCACGAGAAGCTGGAGAGAGCCAAGGAGATGCTAGAAGCACAAATTGCTTGTCTACGTTCACAGCCATCTCAGCCAAATGTCCAGAGTCCTCCTTTGCCCCAGTCAGGTGTCCCGGGATCGTCTCCAGTCCCTTCTGTTACTGAAAAGCAGGAGTCATCCGGCCAGAGTAAACCTTCGGGCAAGAGGCAGAGGCCCCGTGGGATCCGGGAGAGCGGGGGAGAGACGGCTCCTTCTACACCAGACACGCTTCCTAAAAGAAGCCGGAAGGCGGTCAGAAGTGGGGCTCACCCTGCAGAGGACGCCGAGGACGCTGGGTTTGAGCCCGAGGGGCTTCCAGAAGTTGTAAAGAAAGGTATGGCATTGTTGTAAAACAGGTTATCTGTGATCTTCTGAAAGTCCATGTGGAATTTCTCACACAGAAAGCCAGAAGCATTGAGTTTTAGGTTGCCGTGCAGCTGTGAGAACTAGCATTCGGAAGCAAGCTTTCGAGGTGAATACCTTTTCCTTTCTGCCATGAGAGACGAGTGGGACAGCGGTTCTCAGCCTGTGGGTCGCGACCCCTTTGGGGGCCGAACGACCCTTTCACAGGGGTCGCTTAAGACCATCGGAAACACAGTAGCAAAATTATGTTATGAAGTAACAACGAAAATCATTTTATGGTTGGGGGTCACCACAACAGGAGGAGCTGTATTAAAGGGCCGCAGCATGAGGAAGGTTGAGAACCACTGGAGTGGGATCTAGTTACTCATGTCACACTACAGAAAGTGCTGGTGCCTTTGCAGAATGACTGTTAAATCCTGTTTGGGCTCTGGCTGGTTTGGCTTAGTGGTTAGAGTGTCGGCATGCAGACCAAAGGGTCTCGGGTTCAAGTCCTGTTCAAGGGCACGTTTGTAGGATCCATCCTCGGTCTTGGTCGAGGTCGTGTGGGAGGCAACCAATCGATGTGTCTCTCTCACATCAATGTTTCTCTCCCTCCCTTCCTTCCACTCTATCTAAAAAAAATCAATGGAAAAATATCCTTAGGTGAGGATTAACAACAACAAAAAACTTGTTTGGAATTTGATACTCCTGTGCTGAAAAATCCCCAAATCTAGGGCACCCTTCAAGCTCCCTGTCTGCAGGCCCGGGATGGGTCTGATGATGCTGGCCCCCTGGCTGGGGCCATGTACCACTTTTTTTTTTTTTTTTTAACCATAGTGATCCTCCAAGTGTGGCCCAGGGACAGGGAACTATTGTTATTGGTTCATGACCCAAAAAGTACAGAAGTCAAGAGTTTAAAATGTTCATAGCTTGACATTGTCACAACATTCAAGCACATAATCATTTCTCTATTGGTTCATTCTTACTTTATTATAAAAAAGTATTATTCCACAGCAGATTAGAAATTACCGCCCCCCCCCCCCCAATTATCAAAACCGATTCTTTGCCATAGATGGATTGAGAAGCACTGTTCTGAGTAACTAGCTTTTGAGAAATTTAGCCCCCAAATAGTGAGTGAGCTATGTCTTTCTCCTTACTATTTTTTAGTTAAAGGGTTTTTTTTTTTTTTGTAGTTAAAGGGTTAAAAACAAAACTATTGCTTAGTTAGTGGTTAGTGCTCCGGAGTGTGTGTGATACCCTGTCTGTCCAGGCGCCCTGTTCATCTCCTCTTGGTCATCACAAGCCCAGGGTCTTTCTGTGGAAGGAGGTGCTGAATGCAGAGGGTGAGACCAAAAACACTCTGAGCAAGGGTGGGTCTCCCCCTGCCGGTCTCCCCCGCAGAGCCTTAGGGTTAGGGTTAGCGTTAGGCTTAGAGTTAGGGTTAGAGTGGGTCTCCACTCTGCTGGTCTCCCCCGCAGAGCCTTAGGGTTAGGGTTAGCGTTAGGCTTGGAGTTTGGGTTAGGGTGTGTCTCCACTCTGCTGGTCTCCATCGCAGAAGGTTAGGGTTAGGGTGGGTCACCACCCTGCTGGTCTCCACCAGAGAGGAGTCACCTGAAGGAGCTGCTAGCATTTCATATTCATTTTTTATTTTTTCTTTCCATTTTATTCTCATTTTTTCTCCCCTCTAATCCAGATTTTATAAGAAGGTCTGCCCAGTGTATTCCTCACTTCTTAGAAGGACACAAATTAAGACATCCTCCCAGAAGAAGCAGGAAAATAGTTTCTGTTTGATGTTATTTACCCCTTCTTTTCCCATTGTTTTTCTTTTTATGTCTCTAGTAAGAGAAAGCCTGTTAGGTATTTATTCAGTTTGACGACTCGCAGGGTAACTGACGTTAATCTCTGTCTGCTGTGGCCAGGAGAAAGCGTTTTTGGAGTTCCACTGACCTTTGTTAAAAATTGATCTAATGTGTGTGGTGTCCATTATGGGTGGATTTGGACTTAGCAGTGTTGACAGGTCGCTTTTTTGTCCTTAGGGTTTGCTGATATCCCAACAGGAAAGACAAGTCCCTATGTCCTTCGAAGAACAACCATGGCGACGAGGACCAGCCCCCGCCTTGCTGCCCAGAAGTTAGCACTGTCCCCACCGAATATCCACAAGGAAAACCACCCCGAGACCACCAAGCTAGCAGCTGGTGGCAGCAGGTCGCAAAAGGTGAGCTCCCTTGCGCGGTGCCTCCGGGTCGAAGTCCAGGAGTCGGCAGCGTTGCCTGGGTGAGGCTCTGACACTCACCCTCTTGAATGTCTGTCTGTCCTCTCCCGAGGCATGAGAGTCAGCAGGGAGCACGCAGCCCTGAGGGTAAACACTGAGCAGTCGTCCTTGACCCCAGGCCACTTTCCGGTTGGGTGGGAAGTGGCGTTGTTAGCTGGAGCCCAAAGGACTCATAAGAAAGTGTCGGGTGGTACCCTCGAAGTATCTGAACAGGTCGTTTTTCCTTTGGCACAGGCATTGGTCCTGACAGTTTCATGCTTTTCCTCTGCGCTCCCCCTGCTGCCCCCTGCTGCCCCCTGCTGCCCCCTGCTGCCGTGTTCGCTTTTCATTACTCCTTTACTTTCTGCAGAAAGCCCGCAGTTCACCAGACGGCTAGAGTAAGGAGCTCTGTTTGTGGGTTTTGCTGTTTTGCTTGCTGCGGGCTGGGACCACAGTGATCTCTGTGCCCCACAATCAGCCCAGGGGCGCTAAGCGCTGTGTGGATAAAGCGGCCGGACATCCTCTTGCACGGCGGCGACCGCAGTGGCCATCGTGGACCGAGTGTGCGTCGTGCTGGCCACGCACGTTTCCCCTCTGCATAGAACTCGCTGCAGGCGGCAGCACGCGGGGTAAAGAAAGGGAGCCTCAAGGTTTCACACGCAGCGTCAGTGCCTGCTCCCTGGGGCCCAGTCTCGCCTTCCTCCCCGTTTCCCAAACTGGGGATCACAGGACCACCTGGACGTGGCTGGAATAGCCTCAGGAATTTTAAAACTCTGGTGATTTTTTGCTTGCTTGTCAGACTGAAGCGTGCAGTCTGATTACCCCGAGCCAGCAAACAGACCTTGGAAAGTGTCGCTGTCCCTGTTCGCGTACTGTGAGCGTCCCGAAGTGAGCAGGTGTGCCTCGTTGGGGTGCTGGGCCCCCGGACCGGGGAGGTCGCTGACGAGCTGCATGGGAACAGGAGCCCTCTGCTCGTCTTGCTGTGCGAGTGGCCTGAGCCTTAGGGAATGTGTTCCTCGTGCTACGTTTGTTCCAGACTTCCGTCGCTGAAACTCCTGAAAGTCAGGGTGCGAAGGGAAGGGCTGCAGTTTTCTGTCACTCATTCAAGTCGACCCCCGTTACTTGTATTAGAGATGTTCTGCCTCTTTGTGCAACATTTTCCCTCCTCCAACCAATTGCCCCGACTCTTCCCCCCCCCCTTTCTCCTTTGCCATTTCCCTCTCCCTCCCTCCCTCCCTCCCTCCCTCCCTCCCTCCCTCCCTCCCTCCCTCCCTCCCTCCCTCCCTCCCTCTCTGTCATTCCCATTTGGATTTGACTCTGGATGCTGGTAACAACAAAAGGCCGCAGAGCAGACTGGAGCAGGTGGCCCCAGGCGGGTCCAGTGCCCCGACCACGGCCCCTTTTCCAGGAGGCAGCCGGTGCCTCTGAAGAGCCAGGCCTCCGAGCTCGGCCGGAGCGGGCCGGCGGGATAAGCCCCGACCTGCAGCCCCCGGCGGGCCTGGGTCCTGGTGGAGGCTGGGCCCTGGCCTCAGGTGGCTCCCTGGGAGCGGCTCTGTCCTCCGTGCGCTCCCCCCCAGCTCTGCCCCCACACTCGTGGGCTCAAGTGAAGTGTGTCTGGTGCTGGCAGCAAAGCCCTGACACAGGAGTGAGCTCCCTGCACTGCAGTCACTGGCTTCCACGGGGCCTTCTTTTTTCTTTTTTCTTTTTTATCCTCACCCGAGGACATTTCTCAACATTTTGTTCAGATAGAGTGGGAGGGAGAGAGAGAAACATCGATGCGAAAGGGACACATCGAGTGGTCGCCACCCACACAACCCAACCAGGGCCGGGGACAAACTGCAACCGAGGTATGTGCCCTTAGTGGGAACCGAACCCGGGTCTCTCCAGACTGCAGGCCGACGCTCTAACCGCTGAGCAAACCGGCCAGGGCTTCCACGGGGCCTTCTGAGTTGCAGGGGTGTGCGGGCTCCTGAGTATGCCCGCGGGGCCGCGACTAGTGCAGCGTCTGACATCCCGCGAGGTTTGCGGGGCGATTGGAGCTGTTGCTGTCGTCCTGAAGTGACTCCAGGAAGAGAGATGCTGTAAAGGTGTGCTAGGCAGTCATCTCATGAAATCGCCACGCGGGTCCTTTTCCCGTCCTCTGTGAGGAGGCGACGCCAAAGCCGCTGCTTGTGGAGTTCGGATCGTTCTCTAAGCAAACAGGCTTTGCACGCTAGGGGGCCTGCTCTCCACACGCGGCTGCGTCTGCGAGTGCGGTCGTCGCCATGGCTCCCTGCCTGTCTGCGTCCCTGTTCAGCTGCAGGGGGCAGGAGGCACCGGGGTTATGAATTGCTCAGCAGTTCTGTGCACGTGTGGAAATGAGGGGGGAGGGCTCCCCTCGAGAGGAGGTATGGGCAACTTGATGATTAGTTGCAAACTTCGAAACCCAGCCATTGGATTTTAATTTAATTCAGCATTTTCTGAGTCGCCTTATAAAATGCTTGCCTCATCTGTTAAGCATATTTCATCCTTCAGATGGAAAAATATAGAGCAAGGCCTCGTTTTTCTAAAGCAGTTGCTTAGAAATTCAGGGTTATGAGCTTTCGCCTGAAGTGACCGGCTTGGGTTTTGAGCGAGATTCCCTAGGTAGGTTATTGAGAAGGACCGGTCCTGACATCTGACAAGTTCAAAGGGGGAAATGGGGGAAATGCAGATTAGGCGAGGATCATTCTCTGTGTGTCTCGGGGTGGGGGGTGGGGGTGAATAAGCTGAGGAGCTCCTGGTCTGCTGGGGACAAGGGAGGGTGAAGTGTGTCGACTTGATCAGAACCTCAAGTTGGTCAGTGCTGCAGACGGGCCACCAAGTCTTAGAGGGTGACTGTCACCACTTCAGGGGGGCTTCCTGTTTTTCTCCTGCTAATGAGGTCTATTTTCATGGAGCTGGCTGCATCCCTCCCCTCCCTCCCCCCTCAACTCCCCACTGTGGCCACAGGCGGAGTCTGTAAGATAGGGTTTGGGTGCAATTAAGAGTTTAAGTATTTGGTAAATTTGACCTCATCTCGGTATCGACAAGTCTGAGGCTGACCAACATAAGGATCAAATCCATGGCTTAAACTCTGGTCACAGACCAGAATTTCCTCAACTCAGTATCAGAGAAATTGAATCTAGAGGTGGGGGAAGTCCAGGGATGGATTTTGGCTATTTAATCAGGGTTAAGAGAGTTTTACGAGCTCACATTCTCTTTTCCCAGTGTGATCTCTCTCTCTTGTGGTGACCCTAGAAATCTGATCTCCTGCATCCGATGGGGTCAGGGAGATGCCTGTCTTTTATATCACTTTCTCTACTTAAAAAAACAACAACAGTAAAACTGTTTTTTTCCTTCAACTTGCCATGGCCAGTAATTTTCCATTAAGCCCTGATCCTGGTCCTTCAAGGCTCTGCTCCTTGTAAGTGTCCCGCACACATCGTCCTATCTGGAGCTCCCACTCTGACCTTGAACTTCGGTCCAGGGGCGCTGTTGTGCACTCCATCTGTCCTGCTCCTCTTCCTCCTGACCCCCGTCTCTTCATTCTCCTCACCCAGGGACATTTTTTTCATTGATTTTGAGAGAGAGTGAAAAGGAGGGAGGGAGGAGGAGAGAGAGGAACCGTGATGTGAGGGAGACACATCGATCAGTTGCCTCTCGCACATGCCCCAACCTGGGCTGGGGATCGAACTCAGTGCGCGGGCCGATGCCCCAGACCCTGAGCCACGCCGGCCAGGACTGACCCCAGTCTCCTTTCACCTGTGTAACCTCAGCGAAGTTTTGACTCTCAACAGCTTCTTAAAGTCTCACATTTTCCAAGACCCTCTTTCTGTTAAAAGGCCAGGATATTGGAAAGGGTGGGGACTTACCTTCACCAGACTTGAACAAAGCACTGCCTTCTGCTGTAATCTAGATCCAACAATGGAAGCAAGCCAGCGGTCAGGGAGGAGGGTCAATGTGCCTTATGAGGAGCAGGGCGCGGGCCTTCCCGATGCTGTGCAGAAAGCCCTGCCCTGCGCAGGTGCTTTACTCTGGGTTATATTTATCTGGATGATGGCAGGGGCTCAATTAGGGTAATTGGGAGCTGGTCTGGGTTCTCTGCGGGCCTTCCCGATGCTGTGCAGAAAGCCCTGCCCTGCGAAGGTGCTTTACTCTGGGTTATATTCATCTGGATGATGGCAGGGGCTCACTTAGGGTAATGGGGAGCTGGCCTGGGTTCTCTCATAGGTGTATGTTGAATGTCTGCCAGGTAGTCAGCACAGTCTGGGCACAAGGGATGCAAAGGGGAAGAGGACGCAGTCTTTGTGTCCAGCGAGCTGCTCCCTGGTCTAACAGTGTCACACTGGCCTCGGGAGCTCGTCTCCGGCCATCAGGTATCAAGGAGAGTTTGCAAGGCGACGTGTCGGAGGTCGAGTCCGGCATCTCCCTCGCTGTGAGATGGGGCCTGTTTTTAGGTAAGAAGAAATGGTGAAACTGTGGACACTCCTAGGGAAGGAGGATTGAATTAAAATTTGATGACAGAGTGTTTCATGCTGTAGAACTGTGAGTGTGAGCGGAACCTCTAACAAAGGTGCTGTGTTGCAGGTCAAGGTCGCTCAACACAGCCCCGCGGATTCAGGCGCCGTCTCCCAGGAGCCCGCCACGAGACCGCTCTCCGCCAGCAACCCTCCTAAGAGACGTTCGACTGGCAGCCCCAGAGACGGCCTGAGGTCCAAGCAAGGCCGGCTCCCCCCCAGCCCCGAAGCTGGCATCAAGTCCAGTGACAACTGTCGGGTCCAGTAGAAGAGACCTGTGTGTCCTGGACCCTGGCAGGGGCCACAGGTGACCAGCAAGCAGTGTGCCGACAGGGACTTGCCTTTCGTCACTGACACGTCGGCCGTGGGAAGACAGCGATTCCTGGTCAATGTAACTGTATAGTATCTCTGACCCTCCCATTAGAAGTGCTAAGAGGCTGGAAGCCCTGTCCACCTGTCCCTGCTGATGCCCCTCTCCGGGGCTGTACAGTGTATGTAGAAAGCTTTTTGGTAGCGTTTCCCTTGACTGGTAAGCATTATATTGTAACTTCTGTTTGTGTGTGGATTTTACACTAAAGATGCCGAACATTATGTACTTCCAATCAATGGCTCCCAGGAAAATGTGCACGGGTCTTGTGCTGTCTCCTGTGACAGCGTGAGATAAGTCGTTCTAGATGGAGAATTCCTTCGAGCCGAGCGGAAGGAAGGGAGCCTGTGGCATTTGTCTTTAAGGAAAACATGCCCACGTGGCCGTGTCCGCCCTTCTCGTCCAGTGTGTTTTCTAACCTTTGCTTGTGCAACATGTACATATTTGTGTGTGGTGGTGGTGGGCGTTGTGTGTTTATTTCCACTGGCGTGGTTGCAGGCTGCTCGGAGGTGTAATGTATCAAATCTGTGTCATTGTGATGGTTTTCTTTTTCTGAAGACCAATGTGGGATGCAGTCTTACACATGGCGATGTTGTGTTAAAATAAGGCTATCTTTCCCTAATAAAAAAAAAAAAATCACCTTTGTTTCTGCCAAGATGATCCCTACGTACAAAGGCATTATGCACACTGGGGTCACGTGTTGCCAACTTGAACAGCTTCTCACAAAAGGAAAGCTGTCCCAGCGAGGGACACGGGTGCAAGGTAGTGAGGGGACTTGACGTGCTCGGTTGTATTAAAGGACAATTTGGAACATGGGTCATGAAGAGTATATGGGAATAGACTATGTCCAGCCAGTGTCTGCCATATTGTGTGTCCCCATTAAATCGTATCAGCATGGATACGAGTATGTGATCTTGTCCAGCTCATGTTGATGACAGGGTTTTGAAAATATGCAGGCACTGTGAGCCATACCAAGTCTGAAAACTTTGGAACGAGTCCTTGTGTCCTTGAATCAGGGTAAAACGTTTTTCAGGACATGAGCTAGTAAAAGATCATTTTGCTCTTGGCTTTTGGCTCAGATTGATGTATAAATTCTCATTTATACTTTAACATTGTCCTTTGCACGGTGGCCTCTGTTGCTGGATAATGACACTAAACTACTCAGTATTCATGTACTGAAAGCTGATATCCTGACTCCCCTCCTGTTTCCCCAGTTGCTCGGGGTTGTGATCTAGGGCAGTGTCTCCTCCTAAATCACCCCAAGGCTGCCATGTGCTCAAGGGCACGGCCCCGAGTAGACCTCGCTGGGACCAGGCCGTCAGCTTTGTTGGCTGTCCTCAGTTACTGGAAGATTCCACTCAGGTCTGGCTGAGTAGTTCTGTGGGTCCTTGAAAGCCTCTTCATCTTTTCCTGGGTGGACCGTCGCTGCCGCTCCGTCCTTGTTACAGGGACTGCTCGGCGTGCCTTCCACGTTCATGCTCACAGCCTCGTGAGCGTTCAGCCAGGACATTCCTTTCCTCGAGCTGACCATACTCGGAGCCTCGGAGCCGAGCTGCATATAAGACGAAAAGTAAGTATGCTACCGTCCCAGCTCTGAAACACCTGATGTCAGTCGAGTCACAAATAAGATCCCAGCTGACAAATCTCAGGGACCTAGACCAAGTGCAGAGGTCTGGGAATCGAATTCTCATCTGTACGATATGGAACTAAGACGGCTGTGTGCTCCGGGGACTTACCAAGAACCCAGCGGGCCTGTGCTTGAACAAGAAGGGAATGAAATCCAACGTTTCACTGTAGCCTGACTTCCCGAGTCACCCTTCCCTGGGCACACATGCACCCTTGAGATTTATCTGTGGTTTTTCTCATTTGATGCTACTCTGTTTTGTTGGAACTACAGTATCACTTTCACAAATTTATTTGTACCTGGAAAGAAGTCAGGGCACATCTTCCCAGGGCCCCCTTACTTTAGAAGGGGGACGTATTCCACTCCCCAACGGTTTGAGTCTACAAACCGTTTTTAGACTGAGAACACTGATCTTAGAATTTCCAAGTTCTTCCAAAGTCATTCAGGCTATATCTTGAAAGTAATTTAAATAAGAGGTAAACTATGCTCCATTATTTTGGTCAGAAGTTGTTCTAATCATGGGCCTGTGTTTTGTATTTCTCTTGTGGTTGAGAAAGGGGATGCAGTGATTGCTGGTGGCCACAAGGACTGGAGTCAGCAGTTGAGGCTCCCTGAGCCCACTCTCCTCCTCCTACTCATGTCTTAGAATAGAGGAGGGTGCCTTATGCTGGGTCAACCGACGAGAAAGAACAGAATTTGGAGTATGTCCGGACAACCAGGCCGTCTGGCCAGCATGTCTGAGGACCTCACGCTAGTGTCCTACCTCCTGGAAGACCCAGGTATCTAGTGCCCCCACTCACCGGAGCTATGACTCAACCACTGAAAACACCGTGTGCAAAGTGAGGCACATGTTACAAAGTGTTTTCTCATGTTGCCCAAACCTTTGGATCTAATGGAGACATTGGGATCTCCATTTTATAGGCTGAGATTAAGTGAGACACAGAGTGGGCTCAAACTTCTGAGGACACTTAATAGTCGTATCTCACAACCGTTTTTGCAAAATGGAGATTATCTTCTTTGGTTAAAGGGTGAAATAGGGTCAGAGAGTTATTTCCGCCTCAGTTTTGTGAATACAGAGCCCACTGTCTGGTGCCTCTAGCGATGGCTGTTCTGGAATAATCCTGATAGCACAGGTATTCAGGTGGTAGAAGCATTTCTACTTTCTCTGTGCAATGCAGACGTCCACAAGTCTAGGACAGTGGCATCGGACTTATGTCACCTTATATTAAATTTTCAAACATATAAAATGAGATGAGCTGTAAATTTCAATTTCTAAAAATTATAACTACTAACTTAATGCATAAGCATTATTTACTAAGTAAATACTTTTAAAAAGTCTGTTTTGGAAAACCTTGCAAAATCTAAAAGATTTGTAAGGCTTGGAATACAAAAGTTTAGTATAAATGTAGACATTAAAAGTGACCAAATTTATTCACTATGGTTCAGTTTCTTCTGGTAAAATTGGGAATAATGGTAATCTTTTGAAGTTGTCATGTTGATGAAATTAGATAATATTTAACTATGTATGATTTTGCACTGAAAGTTGGTTAGTCAGTATACAGATAATTATATACAGTACTTTAAAAATATTGCAGCTTAAATTTGTTAGGTAAATGTTTGTCTAACATGACATTAATTTCAGACTAAGTTCTGTCTACAAAATTCTCACCATTGTCAATACTATTCTTATTTTGTGAGTTTAATCATCATAGATTTGTACATATTCAATTACTAATGTTGCAAATGAACTATCCATAGTTTTGTTTTTTTTTTCTTTTTAAAAATATCCAAAGAAAACAATGATTACAGTAGTTACAAATAAGTTGCATTGCTGAAGTTTATATAAAGTGGCCATTTGGAATTCAAAATACATTTTCTTATAGACACAACATTGTAACTTGTACCTTTCAAGCCCAGAAAGTCATTTTAGCTATAATATGTTAAAGTGGCAAGGAAGCCCTGGCCGGTGTGGCTCAGGGGTTAGAGCGTCAGCCTGGGACCGAAGGTTGATTCCTGGTCAAGGGCACACACCTGGGTTTCAGGTTTGATCTCTGGCCCTGCTTGGGGTTGTGCGGGAGGCATCCAGTCCATGTGTGTCACATTGATGTTTCTCTCTCTTCCTCTCCCCTTCCCTCCCTTCCACTCTTAAAAAAAAACAAAAAACAACAATGGAAAAATACCCTCAGGTGAAGATATACAAAAAGAAAAAGGAAAAAAAAAAAAAGAAATACAGTGCATCCCACACTGTATCCCAAAACCTAGATCCCAGCTACTCAGAATGGTGCTTAAAAATTGAGCACTGGGCCAGTCGGTGTGAATAATTATTCTCACTTTTTTCCTGGGATGAGCATTCCCGGAAGGCGTAGCGAGTTCGGCCCACACTAAGAGAACTGGGTGGAGTTCTGGGCAGAGGGTGCATCCCTTCTCCCCTGCCCCTCGCCTTGAGGACCGGGGGTGTCCCTTGGCAAACCCAGCAGGGAAGCCGTGGTAGGGTGCCCGCCGCAGAGATGGTATGTGTGTGTGCCAGTGGCACAGTGTGAGCTAGCGGGACAGACACGTAGAGCGTGACCACCCAGTGTTGCTGGTGACAGCATCACAGAACCCCTCCATCTCCCTCACCAGACTCCCCAAGCTAACGCCTGTCCTGACTGCCCCTCTGCACTCCAGGGCCTTGCTGTTAGTAGCTCTCAAATAGTGTGTCTTCATTTAAAAAAATTTTTTTTGTTACTAATTTTAGAGAGAGAGAAACATCAGTGAACGAGAATATCGATTGGCCACCTCCTGCATGCCCCCCACTGGGATCAGGCCCACAACCTGGGCATGTGCCCTGACCAGGAATTGAACCTGCGACTCTTGGTGCCTGGGTCGATGCTTAACCACCGAACCATACCAGCCGGGCAACAGTGTGTGCCTTTAAATTAAAAAAATACCCTCAGCTGTAACCGGTCAGAATTTTAAGACTCTCCTTTTTTTCCTCCCAGGTTCCTTCCCTTCACATATACAACCTATTTGAATTCCATTCAATGTATGAAAACCACAGAATGGGAGGATATCACCTTTCCAAATCATTCCCAAATATTTTCTTTAAATAACAGCGGGTGGGAGCCCTACCATGTTACGTTAGAGACAGTTAACCAGTCGGGAGAAGGACTGAGTTTTAGAGAGAAAATTGAGTCAGGTGAGTTAGCAGGTCATCACCACTGAAGATCAAGTAGAAATACAGCGGTCACTGAAAAAGCAACGTATCTTTTAGATCAATATAATAATAGCGGAGAATTCAGAAAAAAAGAAGGAAATGTTTAGAACTCACCCTAGCTCAAAAATCATTTTTATCCCTAACAGACACAGAGAAAACATTTGTTCTCCGGTAATTTCTCCTGACACACCCCCAGAGGAGTTACTGACACAGCCCGTTAAGGTGCTGTTGGCCTGGGTTTCCTCTGCACTTCGGGCTTGGTTGACTATCTTTTTGTTTTAAGTTAGAAAAAGAGAAAACAGCCCTGGCCGGTTTGGCTCAGCGGTTCGAGCGTCTGCCCGCGGTCCGGAGAGACCTGGGTTCGGTTCCCGCTAAGGGCATGTACCTCGGTTGCAGTTTGTCCCCGGCCCTGGTTGGTCGTGCGGGTGGCAGCCACTCGATGTGGCCCTTTCACATCGATGTTTCCCTCTCTCTCTCTTCCTCTCTCTCCCTCCCACTCTGTCTGTACAAAAAATGGAAAAATGTCCTCGGATGAGGATAAAAAAAAAAAGAAAAAGAGAAAACATTTTCAAAAGCCTTGTTTTCTGATTTCCACTTTAACTGGTTTCTAGTCTTCACAGTTTTTTAAATTATGAAGGCAAATGAGCCCTGGGCCCTTTAA